GATTATTCTTTGTGTACTAACAGATRTGCTAAGCTTAGTACAAATCCCACTAATTTGGAGTATTTGGAGCAAAAACAAGCTGAGAAAACAGTAAACTCCAAGAAGCAAAACAAAAACAAAGAGAGAAGCCTTTACTAAAGAGCTCCTGGGCTATCACAATCTCTGACCACTGGGTAACATATGCTGTAGGATTCACTGAGCTTGGTTTTGGAAGAGTAAGAAAAGAGATTACCAGAAGTTTAGAAAGATCAATATGCAGGTGTCCTAAGTTAATTTTCCACAAATGTTAGGCGCTGGTTGCAGGGGAAATAACCCTTGTCAGAAGCCACTTGGGAAAAGCAACTCCTCATCACCACAGCATATCTACAGTTCCATATACTCTTTTCCACATCCCCAGCTTTACAAAACACAAACATTTGGAGTAAGCCAGGTTGCTTACCTGTAGTCTGGTTTGAGTCATCATCATCCAGTATAGCTGTCTCTTTCACAGAATGGTGAAGTTCACAGATTATGGAGGTGYTTTCTTTCCTTTCTGGGCCACAGCAGCTCCTCTCCCCTTACAAAGGCCCAAACCACTGACTTTCCTTTCCCTGCTCCCTTTTTTACCCCTGTGCAGGCCCACCACCCTCCCAGGTGTGAATGCTGGTTGTTAACCCTTCCATGGCAGGAGGAGCCTGTCCCGTTACAAGGCAGCTCTACCAGAAAACTAGCGTTTTTATAGAATTCATCAAAYAAATCTGGGGGTTTAAAGAGGTAATTTGATGGGGTTCTTGTGGAAAGCTGTCCTGAGTGTTATTAAACCAGCAAATACACAGCTCAGACTGTGCACTGTGCACTATGCTAGCCTCGCTTTCTATGTCTTTCTGAATTCTTGACATATCCAAGAGCATTTATGTGCTCAGTGTTTGTAGCTCTCTGAGATGTGTATTTTCACTAACATCCTTTCCTGTTGATTCACGTAAGTAGTGCTGCAGCAGTGGTATGTGGAGTGGAAAAGTGGAAAAGTGAATCAATCTGGGCGGTCCCCTTAATGGGTGATCTGTTTTGTAATTTGTGCAAAGGAATTTCTCCAAGGAAACTGTTTGCTTTCTTCCCAAACACTTTGTTACCTAACTCTTAGTGGAACAAATCTCTGTCTCTGTAGCTCATCTCAAAGTTGTTTCAACTTGCAGTCCAGTCCCCACATCCTCTGTGTGTTCAGCAGTCCTGGAAAGCTCCACCCTCCCATGCAGTTAATAACCACCTTAACCCAGGGCTGGGATTCCCAGTCTCTCCTTTGCCTGCCCAGCAGCACTTCCTTTCCCCTTGGTCCCCAGCCTTCCGAGCAGCGATTGCTGTGTGGAGGCCTTTGTGCTCAGCCAAGGACTTGTGACAAGCAGCCTCTTTGCTCKCTGGGAAGCACAGCATGAGTGTGGGGACAGTCCTCTTCCAGTCCAGCACCTATGGCAAGGAGGACAAACTGCTCTGCTGCCTTGGCGAGGGAGCCTCCGAGCCTGGCATGCACTTCACAGGTAGGATGCTCGGGGGTGTAATCCTGACCTATCCCTTTCCAGGATTTCTCCAAGTGCTTCAAGGAGGATGGGATCCTTTCARATCTAGCTTTGTTTTGTAGTATGAGACCAGCCACAGGCAGATGTGAGATTGACAGCTTTTATTGGGATTTTAGGGTTATTAAAATGTTTCTTTTCTGTGAGCAGTTACGCAGTATTTCAGAAATGGAAACCACTTCAGCACTTCAAAGTGGTTCTAAAATTTAAAATTTAGTATATTCCACATCCTGCTCTGGGAGCAAAGAGATTGGTAATTGGAGTGTTGGCAGCAAGGGAAGGGGACAAAACACCCCTTACACGTGGGCTGAATAGGAAAGCATTCATATCCGGAGAGAAGCAAATTGTATTGTGGGAATAAAGGAAAGGAAGGAGATGGATGAAGCATAAACTCCTTGTGTGACTGTGTATTACTTGTTCACTAAGTGATGATGTAAGTTTTCCATTGCATAGGAAATGAAAGTGATAATATAAGATTTATGGTTGGCTCTGAAAAGGAACTGATATAAAACAGAACTTCCCAGCTCATTTCTGGACTTTTGGTGCAGACCAAAAGTCAGAAATTGTAAATTATTCAGCTGGAGGGGCATCAGTGGTGGCTTGCTTTGGTTATCTGTGTGATGATCATGTTTCACTTCTGTGATGGATGGTGTAGATCCCACACTGTATGGAACAGCGTGGGCTGTTATGGAATAATAACCTGAAAGAGATACTTTTATATCCTGGTAAAAWCCCCTTTAGTAGGTGTTGGGTAATCTTTACAGTTACTTAAGCATCCAAGTCACTCAAACATGAAAGTGAAGGAAGTGAGACGTGAGCTCTTAAAAGCATTTGATCTTTAGGTAATGTGATTTTTAGGTAAGCACTGTAGCTAAGTGATTGAAGCTCCTCATCAAACATTAACTTCTGATGGCTTTTTCATACATCAGGTGGGTGTTAAGAATATGTGCCAGCCTGCCAGGCATTCCCAAGAAAGTTTTGACTTSTGATTTCCAGTGCAGCACAGTCCCACAGCTGTTTCCATGTGGGCAGAACTCCTGGTGCTGAGCAGGTGGCATTTCTGCTGGCTTTGCCTTGCTGGCAGTGGGTTCATCTGGGCACAGCTTCAGCAGTTCTGGAGCTGGGCTGGCACTGGGCTGCTTCAGGCTATCCGTGGGTGCATGGATAAACACTCCATGCTGTCTGTAGAGCAGGGCCTGGGTGCTCAGTGCATGAGCTTTTCTGGCTGGAGAAAGAAACTTAAAGGATGCTTTGATKTAGAATAAATGTTATATTTTTGTTTAAAGCCTTTCACTGGTTGGCAGATACAGAATTGAAAGTAAGAAGGTAATTAAATACCATTAAGGTATTYCAGAGCTGAAAGATTCGGTGATTTTGGAAATTGCCTACTTTTGTGTTTGCTCCTGGCAGAGATATGTAAGTCAGGGTTCTCATACAGCATATTTGGCTTTGCTTAAGGCATTGAACCAGTTATAACACAAATCTTGTACTGTTTAAATTAATGTACTGTTTAATTACCTATGTATTTTTACTCCATAAAGAGAGTTGAATTTAGGAACCGGTGTTCTTTCCTGGAATTTAACAACTGGACATACATATGCACACATCCAGCACTAAGAAAATCCAGTGGGATGTTGGCAGCCATGCTATAATATAGGTGACTGAGCTCTGGAATTTATTATTTGCCATGATAGCAACTGATCTGATGGGTTAACATATTGTAAAACTAATTGCAGTTGAGAGTTAGGAATAAGAATGTGTGTAAGAATTGCATCTGCAGGCAGTGCAATCAAGGAACTGAGATTTTGGTGGCTTAATCTGAAGTCTCTTCTGTTCTTGCAAGGAGAACCTTAACAGAAGGCCACTTTTAGATTATTAAGTAATTGCGGGATGAACAGGTTATGCAARCAGTGGAACTCTGAATAATTACCAAAAATGCAGTCAAAAGTCACTTAGCTACATGCTTTGAAAGAAAACAGAGCAAGCCTCAACTCCTTATGTTCTCATGTACCTAAAATACGGTAAAAAAATTGCATTATAATCTGGAAACTCCCCCTCATTTTCTAGGCTTGAGCTCTGCCCTGTGACACAGATTTGGCATATTACTGGGCCTGTTACTTGGCACAGGCATCTTCCTGTTTTGTGTCTCACTGACTTCCCAGTTTTCCTGTCCTGTGTTGCATTTGAGCTCTTTGTTCCCTTTTCAAGTGCCGTATAGAACAGCTCTTGCTCACAAGTGTAAATCTCAGGGGCCTGTGGGGAGGGGAATAGGTGTAGCCACACACACATTTTCTRCCAGTGTCTGCTGAAAACATCTCAAGCCTGACTTCTCAGCCCCTCAGAAATGGGCCAGACCAATGACTGTAAAGCAAAGAAAGCCTCAGGGTTTTTTTGAGAGAACTTTTTATGTTTAGTGCATTTAATGAAATCTCTTTACAGTGTACATTTCCATAAGTAAGTTCAACAAGAGAATTCAGAAAGAGATATTGGGACAGGAACTTTATACAGTTGTGCTGTCAGAGAAAACAATTTGTGACTTCACACCTTCATACATTTTTGCTCTCTTGAGCAGTCCACATGTATGGAACCACACCATCACTCCTCTTGTCTGAATGTTGAAATCTATTACCTGTTCCTGGAAAACTACTCCATGAATTAAAAATCCAGTGATGGCTAACTCTTGACATAGCACTAGCATGAAGTATTCAGACAGTTTTCTTGTTGCTACAGTTCTTCCTAAAACCCTGTGTATTTAGCTTGGTTTTAATCATCACAAGAACTGTAGGGACTTTTTTCTTTTGTTTACAAAACACGTCTGATTCCTCCCCCCACTCYCTTGTAGTAACAAGTTTGCATCAATTGTCCTTTGAAACAGCAAAACAGGAAAAGCAAAGTAGAAATGCTGCTGCTAAATACCCAGCATCACCTGTACTGCCTTCTGTCCCTGTCAGTTTTCCACCTCTGTTTACACAGYCTTGAAATGTATTACAAATCACTGTTATTCCTGTTAATACTGAACTGGTTACAATCCCAACTTATACATCTKGTTTGTATCATAATTGAGTCTTACCTGTATTTGTAATGTTGGTTGCAGATCCAGGTTAAGTTCACCACAGAAACAATAAGGACAAAACATAATATTTTGTGATGGAAAAGTTTCCTTCACTATTTCATGTAATTAAAAGGAGTGCTTTTAATTGTGCACCCATTTTTTTCTATGAATGCTTAAATAATTTCAAATAGAGCAGTAGATATATAAAAGAACATGTAATATAATAAATATTAAATAGAAATTTTATATACATCTCTTGCTACTTGGCTTATTGGCAGTTAATCAYCTTCTCCAGGAAYTGGACTGGAWKATTCTTGTGGGTGCCTTCCAACTTGGGATGTTAGTGATTCTGTAATTTACAATTGCACACGAAGTAATTGCCTGTCCTGTCCTTTCCTCAGAGGCTCTGCACCGCCCCTACGGTTGTGATGTTGAACCCCAGGCACTGAACGAAGCCATCAGATGGAGCTCCAAGGAGAACCTGCTTGGAGCCACTGAGAGCGATCCCAATCTCTTTGTTGCACTTTACGATTTTGTAGCAAGCGGTGACAACACACTCAGCATCACCAAAGGTAAGGCTGGGAGCACAGAGCAGCTGTCAGCTTGAAAACTTAGCAACAGAAGTCAGGAAGTGGAATCCTTCCCTRGYAAGGAATGGGAATAGCRCAGTTAGAGAAGGTGATTCCYTGCAGTGGTGGTKGGAAGCAGGCGGTCTGTCCTGCATGGTGCTGGAGGGACACCTGCTGGGCAGTTCTGCTGGGACAGGCACAGTCCAGCCCACTCCTGCTCCAGGCTCCCCCAGTCCCTGTCCCTGCGAGGTACCTCTTGTAGGGAGGGCAGAGGGAAACAGGTACATTATGGATGGTGACAGAACTCAGCACTTACACCTGGGGCAGAGTCAAGAATTAAGAATTGCAAGAGAGTTTCTATTTCTGATAAATACATGTGTCAGAATACAACACATGAATATGACTTGCTGCAGAACTGTTCTAAATCCCATGCCATTTAAGGCTTCAAGGAGACAAACCTCATCCCTCCAAGTAAAGAAAGTCTTCCTGGTTTAATAAGTGGGAGTACAAGAAGGTTTTTGAGTTCATCACTCTCACTGCAGTAAGTTAGGTAACTGTATTCTAGGTATTCTGTCTGAAAMCTTTGTTTCGTAAATACTTTATATATGGCACTTTAGTTACGCTTTTTATTGTTAAGCTACAAACCCAGGCTCAGCTGATGCTGAGTTCCCCCTAATGAGCTTGCACTCTGCTTATTTTGCTTTTTCTGGTCACAGGTGAGAAGTTGCGAGTCCTGGGTTACAACCAGAATGGTGAATGGAGTGAGGTACGTTCGAAGAATGGGCAGGGCTGGGTACCAAGCAACTACATCACTCCAGTGAACAGCCTGGAGAAGCACTCCTGGTACCACGGGCCGGTGTCCCGCAGTGCAGCMGAGTATCTGCTGAGCAGCCTCATCAATGGCAGCTTCCTGGTTCGGGAAAGCGAGAGCAGCCCAGGGCAGTTGTCCATCTCGCTCAGGTACGAAGGACGTGTTTACCACTACAGGATCAACACCACCTCGGATGGGAAGGTGAGAACCTCTGCACAATGCTGTGGGGAGAGCGGATGGAGATATTAAGTGGTGGTGCAGAATATCAAGTTGCAGACTGTTGAGGGAGAGGTGGGGTGTGCAACAAAACAGGCCCACTGGTTAATTAATATAAAAGAAGAACATGTGTGCCAAGGGTTTGGTGGTAACTTCCCAAAGAGCACTTTGGAAGAAGTGCAGACAGTYCTGGTCTGGGCTGAAAGTTGCTGAATAGCCAGGCAGCTGTGCTTGGAGGTGGCGATAGTGTTCCACTGGCCCCCTCAGAAGCAGCAGAGGTTTGGTAAGTCAGCATTTTTAACCTAGATCAAGTTGTGAGATGCAGAAAAAGGGCTTGTGCTAGGCTAAAAATTTCTAGTCCTGTAAAGCACAAGGCAGGAGACAACACAGCTTTTAAGTGACACCTTGTATGTACCTACCTTCTGCAGGTGAAAATGCCAGATTAATAGTTATTTGCCCAGCAAGATGAGAACAAATATGCTAAACCCCTGGTTCTATGATTTTAAAAAGAACCCCACATGTACTGCTTTCCAATGTTACTGACAACTTCCAGCTRCCTTCATTTAAGCAGACTGCCATTTCTTGCTTGCCAGGTCTATGTGACAGCAGAAAGCCGTTTCAGCACACTGGCAGAGCTCGTACACCATCACTCGACGGTGGCAGACGGGCTGGTGACAACTCTGCATTACCCAGCACCCAAGTGCAATAAGCCCACTGTGTATGGAGTGTCCCCCATCCATGACAAGTGGGAGATGGAGCGCACCGACATCACCATGAAGCACAAGCTYGGGGGAGGGCAGTACGGCGAGGTCTACGTGGGTGTCTGGAAGAAATACAATCTCACAGTCGCTGTGAAAACCTTAAAGGTGAGTTCTCACATTTCAGGCACTCTTCATCTGGTTCATTTATGACACAAGTAAGGAAATTGTAATGTTCTCAACTACACCTAATGACATGAGCACAAATGAAGTGTCTGATCTGCATAAAATCCATGGCTGAGAATAGTTCTGCAGATCAAAGTGATCCTATCAAACTTAGACTAGTGCATATGGCTTAGAAATGAATTGGGATTTTGGCCCAGCAGGAGCTGCATGTCCAAGTCAGACCAGTAGAAATGGTTACAAAGCTGACTTYCCTTCCTCCAGAGGAGCTGTGGAGGCTTTAAGAAGCCAAAACTGTTGAAAATACATCTACAACCTCTCCTCCACTCCTGGAAAAATTCAGCTTCTCATTTCTCTTTCTTTTCAAAACCTTCTGTTTGTCTCAACATTAACAACTGCAATTCTAAGTGCCCCCTGAGTAATGTAATTTTATAGCTATGCAGGGATCTAAGTCAGTGATCCTGAGAGTCTTCCTCTCACCAACCCCAACAGCYACCAAATGAGCAAGCCTGGCACTGCCAGGGTGCTGCAGCTCAGTCCCTGCAGGATGACCAGKCAGCTATTCAGGGCTGTTACACTTGGCTTTTGTAAAAGCCAAAACAGCAGAATGGAGACAAAGATGCCATCATGGCATATTCAGCCTGGATATCTGGTGTTAATCAGACCTCGGTCATGAAATGTTCTTTTTTTTTGCCTCTCTGTCTCTCTAGGAAGATACCATGGAGGTGGAAGAATTTTTGAAAGAAGCTGCTGTGATGAAGGAGATCAAACACCCAAATCTAGTGCAGTTGTTAGGTTGGTGAAATACCTTGCTCTTTCTATTCTTACTTAGTCTTCATTTTGGCAGAAACTTGCCTGGTTTAAGTGCAGTGGCAGCTTTTCTGTATTTATATAACTTTACGAATCAGGTCAGGCTATGGGGTGATATTTTTGACAGCTTTATGTAATATTGGAGCTAAGAGACACTTAATTTTAAATAAAACATCAAATACAGTCACTTACATTAGTAGACAACTTTGCTGTTGAGGCACGACTGTTACATAAAAGTTTGCAATATCATCCTCCTGCTGGTTTGTGTCCTTGGCCCTACACATGCTCCAGGGTTCAGTCATCAGGCTCAGATTCCTCCTCTGCTGTGTTAAATCAGATTTACAAAACCATTTTCTGTGACTTATTTTTCTGAGACACCAGAACAAAATTGTACGAAAATTCAAAGTGAAAGGAAAAAATTCTGTTGGAAGCACAATAGATACTATCCTACATAGTTCTCAAATCAGAGACATTTACACAAAAGGCTTCATTGAGGAGAACAAATTAGTCCATAATTAAGCAGAAGGCATCATATTGCTGCTCTTGTGAGGGACCCTGTGTATCACCAAATAAATACATGAGATCAAACAACTCAGGACTGGAAGAAATCCACAGGCTTTAGATCTTGGCTCTACCCTGTTGTCTCACTGGCAATGCATGATATGATGATCATTATTAAATAGTTTGCATTGCTGTTAAATCTACATGGACAAAGATTCTTAAGGAGACACCCTAAACCTTTAGTAGCGTTTAATTGCCTCTGRATTTCTGGCGAGTTCAGGAGTAGAGCTGTTGAGCCAATCCTAGGATGAAAGGAGAAATGTGAAGAATGTGAAGGCTTTTACTAATGGCAACTGTTCCGTACCCATTTTAAAAAATGGGCACAGATGAAGTGTCTGCCCAGCCCTGTCTGGTTCCAGGAGCAGAGACGTAGAGATTTGTCATCAGAGAGCTGCATTTCTGCTCTTTCTGGTGCACAGCACAGTTGTGCTTTACTCCTGCATGTGTGTAGGGGTATGAATAGTCAGCAGTGTTTAGGGTGGGTCCCAGAGCTGTGACAAGAGTATCCTATTGCTCTCCTCCTCCGCCTTTACATGCTTTGTAGGGTGACTGTAGCAAGTAGTCATCCTAGGAATGTGTGAGAACCCTGCTTGAGGAGCAAGTCCCACCGTGCTGATTCCTTACCCAGCACATGGCAGTGCCTCACATTACTCTCTAGTGACATATCAGTCTGCWAATCTTGCCAGCTGACAGGTACCTGCTTCCAGTTGGCTCCTCTAGAGCTTTATGAAGGCATAGAGGGGAAGAATAACAAATTGTGTGTTCAAAATTGCCCTTTTTCATTCTGTAACCTTTCAAAGAACAGAACTACTGCTTCTTGTGTTTTATGTAGGAATAGTGGTGCTTTCATAGACATGTTCCTCTCTATCCATAAATTGGATGAACAGATAAATAGACAAAAGCCCTGAGTTGGGCTGCATTGACCTGGGTCTTGTACATGGAGGTCTTCACTTTTCAGAGAAAACTCACAGGGACTAAAGGCAATAAATGGCTTTTAAATCAGGAATAGTGGTGAGAAAGGGAAGCTTTATTGATATTCTGCCTGCTGCTCCCTGGCAGGTGTGTGCACCCTGGAGCCCCCCTTTTACATCGTGACGGAGTACATGCCCTACGGGAACCTGCTCGACTACCTGCGCGAGTGCAACCGCGAGGAAGTCAGCGCTGTTGTGCTGCTCTACATGGCCACGCAGATCTCCTCTGCCATGGAGTACCTGGAGAAGAAGAACTTCATCCACAGGTGGGTGAAGTCACCTTGAGCTGCTYTAGTTTCAGATTGCAATGATAAACGGGCCACCAGCATGGTGGCWCARGAATTCCAGCTTTTGGGAAGGTTTMTTCTGYAGTTAGGATTCACACTGGCTTATCCATTGGCTGTGTTGCCTTCAATATCTTCAATACTGCCTTGCAAYACCTTCTCCCCAGGACTTTCAGAGCAATCTTGTGCCCAAGCTGGTGTTGTCYGGTACCCACTGTGTGCAAGACAGTGCCCACTCAAAGTCGTGTTTAAATCCAGATAAAGCTATGCCATAAACCTGTTACAGTGTGYGATGAGCTGCTGATCACATCCCATCCTCAGGAAACATTAACTTGGCATGGCCATCATTACTGAAAATGTAATAGAATTTAAAGAGTKAATCCTAATCCTGATTTACCTCATATTGCTCCTAAGAATAAATCCACTCAGTTTCTGTCACTGTTCAGRTCAAAGCTCACCTTGTCTTTACCTGCTGTATACAAAAAGCACTTATTGATTCAGGAGAGTGAGGCCCCAAAACTACATTCAAAAGCCCTGCTCTTGCTGCAGTAGTGTATTTTTTTCCTTTTTGCAGGGACCTGGCAGCACGGAACTGCTTAGTTGGAGAAAACCAYGTGGTGAAGGTGGCTGACTTTGGCTTAAGTCGGCTCATGACTGGTGATACCTACACAGCCCATGCTGGGGCCAAGTTCCCAATCAAATGGACAGCTCCTGAGAGCCTGGCCTACAACACCTTTTCAATCAAATCAGACGTGTGGGGTAAGAAAATTCACCTTCAGTGTCCTTTTCTTGTTGATTTTGGGTTTTTCAGCCAGTCCAGACARTAACTTGCTTTCTGGCTTGGGCAGAAACCTGTGTGAAGATGGTCACATGTTAGGCCACAACTTCATGAATCAATAACATTTTTACCATGTGATGTCACCTAGACTGGCCTGAAATATCTGCAAGGGAACAATGCTGCCTGAAACTGCAGTAAAGGCCACAGAGTAATGAACAGCACAGGAGCAGACTTATGACCTGGAATTTTGTTTTCCTCCTTTTGCAGCTTTTGGGGTGCTATTATGGGAAATTGCTACCTATGGGATGTCACCATATCCAGGCATTGACCTCTCTCAGGTGTATGATCTGCTGGAAAAGGGCTATCGGATGGAGCAGCCAGAGGGGTGTCCTCCCAAGGTGTATGAACTGATGAGGGCATGTGAGTATYTTCTTCCAGTTTTGGGGACAAAGCCTGGGAGGGTGGGAGGACTCTGTAATTAACAGCCCATCTCTAGCAATAYTTGATCCTCAGCATGTCAAAGTCAGGGCAGGCTTCAGTTAAGCAACRAAGAAGCTGGAAGGATATTACTGCTTCAAAAAACCTTCAGGAAGCTGACAAACGCCAAAAGCTGGGAATTCATGTGATACTAATGCAAAATGAGCAGAATTCCAGTCACTTTCCAGACCCTATGGTGATACCAGCAGACAGTGCTTCCAAATACATTCCTCTAGTCTAGTTTTCTAACTACAGTAATTACACTTTTCACCGTGGTACTCCTCTGCAATTGTCCAAGCTCCATCTGGTATCAAGGCACTCTCATCCTCTTTCCCCCACATGGTGCACACATCCTTCCTTTGGAAGGGTCTGCCTTAATTTCAGTATTAARAGCATGTGAGCAGGAGCTTTACACACTCAGTTGCCTGTGACTGGGCTAGATGTGTTCAGTCCCAGCAGCTAGGATAGCAAATATGGAATTGTCCTTTGCCCAAAAAAAATCAGAAAGGGGGAATCAGAAAAACCTGTAGAGTTGGCAGAGAACYGGGAGTTTTAGAATTAAAATTTAGAATCTCAAGATTTGTTTGCTGTGATACAGTAGGGTGGGTGACTGCTGCTGTGAATCAATAGCTGTGAATGATTCTRAAGCCTGTTTAACAGTAGGTCAGATCTGACTACTTTCTGTCTCCTTGGACAGAAGAAAAATTAATCTGCCCATTTTAGGCACTGAGACTTACTCTGCTTTCTGACACTGCAGGCTGGAAGTGGAACCCACCAGACCGACCTTCCTTTGCTGAGACCCACCAGGCTTTCGAAACCATGTTCCACGACTCGAGCATCTCAGAGGGTGAGAACTGCTGTTRTTTTACTCCTGAAGCAGCACTGGAGGTTATCCCCAGAGTGCTGTGTCTCATGGATGGGCCTGTAAAGCTCATGTGCTGGCAGTGGGATTGAGATGGAGCTCCATTCCTTACTTACCCCTTGTTGGGGTAWATACATTCTCTTAGTTGCTGCACAAATACTGAATAAACTTCAGACACATTCCAGTGCAGGGGACATTGTCATTTTATTTGTGCTCTAAGATGCCCAAGAGCTGATTTAAAGAATATTGTCTCCTCTGCCAGAGGAAATCTCTTGTTTTCCAAGCTGAAAAGTGAGGAATAGTGAGTGATGGAGAGAGAGAAAGATGTATGCATATCACAGTCCCTTGCTGACTGCAGCAATTAGGTCATGAAATATTATTCTACCAGCCTCCACTTCTAAAAAAGTGTGCTTTAATCTCTGGATTTTCTGCTTATCTACTTCTAGGAGCAAATCTGTGCAGCTCAAGTCTCAAATATAATCTACCAGGAGGTAAATACTGGTAGGAATGTGATATTATTCAGCAGACAAGCAGAAATGCCTGAGCATTCTACGCAGTTTATAAATTAAATATTCAACTGATCCATCAACTTTCTAACTACAGAAAAAACACACCAGATGGAATTTTAGCAGTGAGGATCTATAACAGGCATATCCAGTGGCCACACAAATGCCAAGCTGGGTGTGGCCAGGAGGTTGTGGATTTTTTTCTGTGTTTGTTTTCTCTTTCCTTTCCTGACATGCAGTCTTCATTTCTAATAAGGGGTGCAGTGCTGTGTGTCRAGCAAGGCAGCTTAGATCCAGATCCAGAGAGGACACAACTTTGGGGAACATCAATAGGAGGCACCTTRATTAAAAACAGGCAAATGCATCCAGTGCTGCCTTTAGCTCTTGAGCAGCCCTTACCCAGCACAGAGTTAGGTTAGTAATAGAACCCCTGTACACATCCTACCACTGCTTTTTTTGGGCTAAATTTATAAAGATGTAAATGAGTTTGAAATCATTACAAAAAACATCTGGCCGTGAGCACCTCTAGACTTGAACAAAAACTAAATMCATAAATTATGTATTTCTCAGTCATGAATCTCTTCCTGCCAGTCTGGATTTGCAGTCAAGACCCAGGGCTTTTTTTTCCTCTTCCTTTGCTGGTCTTTGTTTGACTGTTCCCTTTTTTTCATTACAGAGGTWGCAGAGGAGCTTGGAAGAACAGCCTCCTCCTCATCCTTAGTTCCTTACTTGCCCCGCTTACCCATGCTTCCTTCCAAGACGAGAACACTGAGGAAACAGGCAGAGAACAAGGAGAACATTGAAGGAACACAGGAGACTGTGGAGCACTCAGCTTCCAGCTCAGCACCAGGTATGGGCACTCAGTGCCACTGAGGCCACAGGTTCTGCCTGTAAATTCCCAGTGAAACAAAGAACACGACATGGGAAGGTGCTTTGTGCTGCTGTGTCTTGAGTGCTGCTGGCCCAATTATTTACTAGCAAATATAAAACGTTGCAGCTTTTTCAATGTTCTTTTTAGTAAAWCCCACTGTGTTTTTTCTTTCAAATTCAGTTTTGCTGCTCTCTTTTAAATGACAGCTTCAAAACTGAAGTTAACAACACAACAGGAGATTTTCTCTTATACRTAGGGTATTTGGGTAGGAGCAAAAAATGACAGGAAGGGAGTAATGAGCTGAAAGAAAAGAGCAGCTCTTGTCTGATCTTTCTCCAAAGTGGCCTCCTCATTGTAGACAACACACAAGTCACATGCAGAACTGGAAAAAAGTAAAGAAAAAATAAAATACAAGTGCTCACTTCTTTTCTCACTCTATCTCTGCAGCAACTGGGCAGGTAAATATACCAGGCCCATAAGGCCCAGTGCAGGACAGGGAGATGGAAATGGAAGTAGATTGTGCAGATTGACACCTGTTTCTTCTGCCCAGGTTTCATCAGAAGCACACAGCCAACTGGCGGGTCCCCCGCACTGCCCCGCAAGCAGAGGGACAAATCCCCCAGCAGCCTCCTGGAGGATGCCAAAGAGACCACGTTCACCAGGGACAGGAAAGGGGGCTTCTTCAGCTCCTTTATGAAGAAGAGGAATGCTCCCACGCCTCCCAAGCGCAGCAGCTCCTTCCGGGAGATGGAGAACCAGCCCCATAAGAAATACGAGCTGACGGGTAACTTCTCCTCTGTTGCTTCCTTGCAGCACGTGGATGGGTTCTCCTTTGCTCCTGTGCAGCAGGACACGAGCCTGGCACCCCCCAAGTGCTACGGAGGGGGCTTTGTGCAGAGGACCTTCTACAGCGAGGATGGCACTGGGCCCAGCAGTGSTGGGGGCGTGAGCACTGGTGGAGCATGGTCGGGCCTCACCGGCTTCTTCACGCCACGCCTGATTAAAAAGACACTGGGTTTACGAGCAGGAAAACCCACTGGCAATGAAGAAGCTTCAAAGCCTTTTCCAAGGTCAAACTCTACATCTTCCATGTCCTCAGGGCTTCCAGAACAGGATAGGATGGCAATGACCCTTCCCAGAAATTCCCAGAGGTCAAAAATTCAGCTGGAACGGACTGTGTCCACCTCCTCTCAGCCCGATGAGAGCACGGGGAGGGCCAATGACCTGCTTCCCAAAAGGTTTGAAGAAGGCCCTGCTTTGACCAGAGAGAGACCAAAAGCRAAACTGTTGCCAAGGGGTGCCACAGCACTCCCTTTCCGAACTCCCTCCGCATTGGAAGAAAAGGAGGGTCCGGGGCTAGTGGCAGCTCCTAAGGGCAAAGAAAAAAACAGTGGCCCACGCCAAGGGGCCCYTGAGGATGGCGAGAGGCCGGGGTGGTCATCTCCGGTAAAGGCTGCAGCAATACTTCCAACCACTCATAACCACAAAGTGCCAGTCCTAATCTCACCCACTCTAAAACACACTCCAGCAGACGTGCAGCTCATTGGCACAGACTCTCAGGGTAATAAATTCAAGCTCTTATCTGAGCATCAGGTCACTTCTTCTGGCGACAGGGACCGGCCCAGACGGGTAAAACCAAAGTGTGCTCCACCTCCACCACCAGTGATGCGGCTCCTCCAACAGCCAGCTGCCTGCTCGGATGCAGCAGAAGAGCTGAGCGGCGCGGCGGGAGCGCAGGACGGACTGGAATCCAGCGAAGGGAGTAAGAAGGCAGCAGCAGCAGCAGCACCTGTTGGTGGAAAATCTGGGAGGCCCGTGATGCCTCCGCCTCAAGTGCCTCTGTCATCGTCTTCCACCTCCCCAGTGAAAATGGCCAACGGCACGGCTGGCGCCAAGGTAGCGCTGAGAAAGACCAAACAGGCAGCTGAGAAAATCTCCACAGACAAGATCAGCAAGGAGGCGCTGCTGGAGTGTGCCGATCTGCTCTCGAGTGCCATCGCCGAGCCCACGCCCAACAGCCAGCTGGTGGACACGGGGCACCAGCTGCTGGATTACTGCTCAGGCTACGTGGACTGCATCCCGCACACGCGCAACAAATTTGCCTTCCGGGAAGCCGTGAGCAAACTGGAACTGAGCCTGCAGGAGCTGCAGGTGTCCTCCACAGCTGCTGGCGTCCCTGGGGCAAACCCCGTCCTTAATAACTTATTGTCATGTGTCCAAGAAATCAGTGATGTGGTGCAAAGGTAGCTACTGTCAATCTGGGTAAGAGAAACACACACGGGGAGGGGGGGACTGTTTTTCTGTACTGATGCTTTCAAAAGGAAAGACTGATACTTGAGTATGTGAAGTACCTCAGATCACTGAGTTCTCCTCACGTTTACAGGTTCATCTCAAAAAATGGGGGATGGAGAGGGTAGATTAAAGCTGTAAGGGGCAGAACATCAAGGATCTGTCCCTACCTAGTCAGGCTGATCTGCTTGGTATGGTAAGGGAAGGAAGTTCCCTCTCCTCCCTCGGGGAGGCAGGAGAAGCGATGGCAGTTTCTCCCTCTGGGCAGGACGGTGGTGACAGCTGGAGTCTTGGGGTGGCTGCAGCTGCTTGGCTGTACAGATCCTGCCCTGGCTGCACTCACATGTGCTTTGCTGTTCTGACAAGGCCAAGGAAAGGTACTGGGGCTCTGCTGGTACCAAGGGCAAAGCAGTCTGAGCCGGAGGGGCTCCAGCAGGGAGTCGTGTGCAGCTGGGGGAAAGGTCTAATGCACTGACAGTAATCAGAGCTGCTGGAGGTGGATGCACTGGTCTGGATGGCTTAACTTCCACAGCGCTGTTGCTGCTGTAATGAGAACTGCAAGATTAGTTAATATATGAAACTCTCCCTTTTCCCTCCTGTCCGCCTCGTCCACCACCTTCTCATCGTCATTGTATCGGAAGCGTCAGGGATGCTGGGCAGACTTACCACTGGAATACCCCCTTCCCCRCCACACAGCCTTCACTCAGCTGATACCTATTTCTAGTGGTCTAGCACAGGTGCTGCTTGATGGTCATTTTTGAGTAGTCTGGGGCTCTTGCACAACTTGCCAGTGTTGTTGTTGGGGTGGGTGGGTTATTTCTTTTTAAGCTCTAGATTGTTTTTAACTTGTTACCAGGTTGACTCCCCASTTCAGTTTGGTCACCGTAAGGACCYRTGGTAGGTAAGGCAGAGCYTCTGCCCCYGCAGCTGYTCTCCACATACCTTGAGCAGWCACAGCACTGCARGGCCAGCTGGACAGCCAGAAAGTACAGCCCAGCCTGCCCACCACATGTTCTTACTGCTGGAGGATTCCCTAACCCTTCACACTGCCAGATTCCTGGGATTTGTTCTAGTGCTTCCCTGTCTTGCAGGCTTGCAGCTTCCCTGCATCCCAAGGTGACAAAGTATAGCAGCACACTGGGAAACCACAGGCATCTCCATGTACTTACTCCTGTATCTTAAAGGCTGGACCAGAATCCTACGCTGTGGTGTAGGGAACATGCACATAACCTGTGCACTTCTCTGCCAGAGGTGTGACAACAAAAGCTATGGCTCTGCCATGAAGGGCTCCCGCTGGGTCTCTGATGCCTTCTAACAATCCCAGAATGAGAGCAGCCGTGTGGTTGACCTTGGCATCCTTGGTCCTGCAGCACCTGTGCTGTTTGTGGACTGTTGTGGCCTTGAAAAACTGGTCTCATGTGTCTGTGCACAACTCCCTGAGATGTAAATGTACTGGCAAGTAGGAAAACCTCAGCTGCTGGTTTGTGAGAGGAGGGAAACAGGCCCCAAGCCTGGCTCCAAATACATGTTACCTGCATGCTGCTGCTCACTTCACRCTGCTGCTGATAGAGGATCTCGCTTGCTTTGCACCTTAAATCTCTTATTTTTGGCTAAAACGCTTTTAAAACTTGTTTTTCAAGTGTGACCATGCTGGTTTTAGTCTGAACATTTAGAGTGGAGCTGTGGCACAGGTGTGACTTTAGAAAATGGGCACTTTGTTTCTGTCTAGAAGCACATGTTGGTGCTTGGAAGCAGGCTGGGTGTCTCAGCAAGTGCTCCTGTTTTTCCACAGAGCATAGCAAGATAGGACTTGGAAAAATCTTTAGAAATGGACTGATGTCTGAGAATCCTCATGTCATCACTGGCTAAGCTAAGCAGAGTTGGATCAGGCACAGCAGAGGAGCAGCATGTGAGGTACGATGGACCAGTGAGCTTCTATGGSCCAGTAAGGGAAATGGTGGGGGAAAAAAGAACCAGACAACCCCTTGTGCTGGTGAGTCCTGATCCCCTGCAGCCCTTGGGGCTGTCCCAAAGCTCTTCTGCAGCCATGTAAGGACCAACCCCTTATCTCCTAGACTTTGCTGAGGGCTTTTGTGGTTTAGCTTATCTCTTTCAGTCATCTTTATGGAAGGTGTGCATCCAAACCAGCTCCCTTTGGAAAGGTGACCTGCAAGGGGAAGGTGGATTGTGGCATTGCTTCACATGCCCTGTCAAACAATCAGAAGGATTTAGAAGGTGGGGGGTCTCTTTTCTTTGGGGCAGAAGGGCAGGTTTTGCTTGCCCTGGCATACAATTACATGGTTCCGTCTTTGTACTGATGCTCAGCCTGGGACAAATGAGCTGAAACTGAAGGGATTCCCAGGGGAAAGGAATTTTAACCAGAACATTTTAAARTTTAGTCCAATTCTGATGAAGCCTTCTTTTCCCCTAAATGCCAGAAACACTCCAGCAGAAGTGACAGAATAGCAATATGGAATTTTGAACTGCCACAACTCCCCTCTTCCAGCTCTTTCTGAGGAAAGCAGCTGTGTCCCAATGAACATAGGCCATCCCCGTTTCCTTTCAGATGCCCCCTGGTTTCTCCTTGCCCCTGCAGTGGAGATGGGCAGTGGGACAGGGCAACATCCAATTGCTTTTCCAGAGTCACTGAATGGCTGAGGTTGGAGGGACCTTTGAAGCTCACTGGTCCAAAACACTCTACCCAAGCAGAGCCATCTCACGGACCATGTCCAGGCAGCTTGTGGGCATCTCCAAGCATGGAGACTCGGCAGCCTCTGTGCCCAGCACAGGAGCCCATTCAGTTCAGTTCTTCAGTGGAAAAACAAAGGCCAGTGCAATTGGGGATTCATCTGTTGTCACTCTCRTGGAAAGTGTTTGCTCTTACCAGTCATCTAGCATCAGGTAGGCAGATTGTGGCAGAGGTAGTGCTGACCTGACAGGTTTTTTCTCCCCTAAATAGAAGGCTGCAGCATTGCTGGGGCTTCTGCTGCCCTATAGTGTTTTATTCCCAAACTGTAATGTCCCCCTGCCCTCTGGCGGGTAGCAAAAGGATGCTCTCTGGGAAAGCTGGTTCTGCTGTAACTCATCATCCAGTTGTTCTTCCTTCCACAGCTACTCCTAAAAATGTTAGYATTCCCTCTCCCTTTAGCTAGGTTTGGCTTTCTCTTCAGCCTTAAGGTCTCCACTGTGGCCAATTCTCTGCTTTCAGCCTGGCACCAGACATGCAAATGAACACGTGGGTGGTGACACCCTGTTATTTGTCCCAGTGAAGAGCACTTCATGCTCCATGGTTTGGGGCAGGGAATAAAGTGTAAATCCTGTTGTTCTCAACTCTGTCAGGCAGCYGTATGGGTACGGCTGGGGCTGGGCTCTCTCACTTGCACTATTATGGGCCAGAACTTAAAGCAGTCGTCTTTGCCACAGGGATGGCACCCATGAGCCTGGTAACGCCAAGCACAAAGCACGTGCTCACCGAGTGAGCTCAGTGGGGCACTTTCTTTCCTACCACAGTGGGAATTAGCTGACTCACAGGTGCAATTCTCTCTTCTTCCTGCACTGTACACCCTTCTTAACCCCCAAGTGGTGCACTCGATTTAGTCATGGTCTTGATTAGTGGGGACAGGGGTGAAGCTGAGCTGAGAGTCTGGATCTTGGGACTGCACCAGATTTAGCCACTGGGAAAGGGGAATTGAAGGGAGCAGCATTGCTGGTGCAGAGCGCAGCAGGGAGGGAGGCAGGGTTGTCCTTGCCCTCCTCAGGATRTTTCTCCTGGGTGCCACTGGCCCTGTGTTTGTGAGACAAACACAAGTGTTGACATCTGTCAGGGTGCTTTTGCAGGAGTGGTGGGGCACAGAGAACCAGACCCCACAGTGGAGACAGAGCAGAGGTGTGGGTTACACTGTGCAGCCACAGAGCAATCCCGACTCTCGTGTCCTCCCACTTCACCTGAGGCTGGCTTTTCCTCTGGGGCACCCGCGGCTGTGACAGGCACTAATGACCCAGAAGAGGGTGGTTGCAAAGCCATCAAGCTGCTGCCTTCTCATTAACACACAACTCAGCCGTGCTGCACATCAGGAGTGGGCAGGGAGACTGAAAGGCAGTGACTGCAGCAGTGTGGAAACCTCCCAGGGCACCCAGCAGCAGGGGTGGGTGCTGGGGTTGTGCTGCAGATCCCTGGAGTGTGGAACAAACCTCTCAGCCCAACCCCTGGTAGCGGTAACAGGAGGTTCTGGGACACTGACTTGTTTGTCACAGCTCYACACCAAGCAATGTCTGTACCAAAGGAGGTCGTTCTTCCCCATGTGTCTGTTGTGCACGGGAGGTGGAGCCCGCTCRGCTCACATGGCACTGTTTGTATTGGTAGTGAACTTGCTGAGGGCAGGAATGGATTGAAATGAAACACGTTAATCACCAATCACTCTTAGCAGTGTTGTCAACTGTTTTTTGTTTTTTAATTGTTATTGTAATATATTTTGGTTGTTTTTCTAATTTAATTCTCTCACTATCGTCTGACTGTGAACTGCGAACAGTGTTAAACTTGATGTAAATAAGGCCYTTGAAAGGGCCTCTTTGCCTGTCGTTCCACAAAGTTTTGCCAATTTGCATTTTGTTTTAAATAAAGGTTGCAATATTTTATTGGCAAAAAMCACTTGAGTAGATGCTGCTTTTTTTCCCCTTTAATGAATATTTGAAGCTGCTTGGTCCTAACCAGAAGCTCGTTCATTTGGTTAGAAAAAATTGTTACAAACCTGTTTTAAAAGGAGAAATAATTTAATCCCACCAGGTTGCAAAAAAAAAAAAAAAAAAAAAAAAAAAAGCAGTATCTTTATTTATGCAGTATCTTCATTTAGAACAAACTGTTGGCTTGTGTGGTCAGAGAGCAGCTTTTGGTGTTGGGTGTAATCAAAGCTCACCCAAGTATGACACATGCACTTGTGACCCAGCAGAGCACAGGTCTGGCCTTGCCCTGCTCAGTAATGCCACCACCTCCCTGCCCAGCCACAGTCAGAGCTGCTTCATGTGCCCACCTCAACCCAGCCCTGCACTCTGAGATGCCAGCACTGCCTTCCTGCCACCCCAGCCTGTGTCAGCCTAACCAGGACAGCTGAAGACTTCTGTATATTCAGAAAAAATCCTGGCTTACACACACCTTCTAGGCAGCTAACCTTCAACAAACAGCTTGCTAAACTTTCTGCCCAGGTGACCAAACACAGCCTGAGTTGTGTCCTGTGGGGCAGCAGCCTCYCCTCCCCAGCTGCCATCCCTGGGTCCATCACCCCCGATGTTTCCCAGGTTTCTGACACCGGAGATTAACCATAAACCAAGTCTCAGAAATGCCTGCTCACYCAGGCTGGCACAGCCCGAAGGTCCATCCTAACAGCTGAGTTAGGCCAACTGCATTGGCTGAGCAGAGGGAAAGCAGCTGGCTCACCCTGCCTTGGACTATGAAGCCTCAGCAGATAACGGAGCCAGCGTGCCCGGAGGGAAGCAGGGACTCAAAGTCTGCAGGGCTAGGACACGTCTGGTCAATCTTTCCCAGAGGTCGTGCTGCTCATCACTGGCACCACAAAACGGGTCAAAAGCTTAAAATAGATCAAAGGTCCYCCGTGGGGGTGGCCAGCAAGCCGAGCCCTGTCCTTGGCATGTGCTATTTCACTCCTCACCAGCATGGCCCTGTTGGAAGGGAGTTTTGACCCAGAGGTCACAAAGTGATTCCTGTAACACTGTTGAAATTTTTTGGAGCTGCTGTAACACACTTATCACCTGGCGAGCACCCAGACAGCAAACAGCCCCTGTAATAATAATAATAATGCTGATACCAGCCAAAAAAACACAGCATGAAACGTACTGAAGAGAAAAATAAAAAAAAAAAGAAGGGAAAAAATCAAGCTTTTACTGCATCCGTGAAAACTCACATTCAGCTGGCAGCCTGATGCTTCAGCCACCATCCTCCTCACCTGCCCTTGGCAGAGGAGTTCTCTCCCCTTTTTGGTTGTGCAGTGAAGGAAACAGGCTCTTCACCAATCTGCTTAGAAAAATAAATGCAGCGGAAGTTCTCCTCACCCCAGCAGCTGCTTCCATACAACGGAAGGCTCCAGTGAGAGTTGGACACTCCAAAGTGAGAACTATGGACTTGGCATCTCCAGAGGAGATTATTCAGTCATTTTCTCCCTGCACAGACTAAATTCTTGCCCGTGTGTCCCTGAGCAGCAGACACCTTTCAGCAAGGCGTGAAAGCAACAGAGGRGAAAAACTCAACTCCAGCAAGACAGTTCTGGGTGATCTTGTAAAGTGACAGAGAAAACTGGGGATGTGGCTTCTGCCACAGTCTCAACAGGACCAGCCTGTCCAATGCCTCCCTTCACCACACAGCTACAAACCAAGGACCTGGACMTTGCCAGTCCCCACTCACATGGAACAGCATCTGTCAGCAGAACCACATCACCCCTTCAGGCTATTGCCGGCTAAAAGAAGGGACTTACAACACCAGACAGACTCCAAATGCAGCCAAGCACAGGCTGTCCCCTCATGCAGCTCCTTCCCTGCAACAGCTCTGGGAGTAATGGGGGGTTCAGTCTCTGTCCCTGTGCAGTGCCTGGCTGAATCCTCTGCTTGCATGACCCTGTGCAAAGAGAGCAGCTCCCAGAGTGCAGAACCACCTTCAGCACACGCATGGTCCCACCTGCTGTTCAAGGGAGGAAGTAATTGATGCGCTGGGGCACGGATTTGCAGCCCTGTGCAGAGAAAAGCTTCTCCTCTTTGGGGACAAACACCATCATCTGGGCCACCTCGTCGAGCGTCGCCTCGGTGTAGGGCAGGCCGCGGGCCAGGAAGGCATCGCGTGCGCAGAGCTTCACGTGGTGGTACTCCAGGGGCAGGAATGGCACCAGCACATCGATGAGGTTCTCCCTGAGGAGCTGGCTGTGYGCGTAACCGTTCTCTGAGAAAAGCACAAGACAAACTCAGAGACTTCACCYGAGAGCATCATCGCCCTGCGAGGCCAGGCTTGGCTCCCGGGGCTCATCCCACCGTGTGTGACGGGACCATGTGTGCCACAACTGGTGACCACTGAGCCTGAGCATAGAGCATCCCTGTGAATCACACCTGGAGCCCCAGGGAAGCCTTGGTACTGCCCTGTGCCACTGGGCTGCCTCTCACCCCGGCCATTTTCAGGGCTCAAAGGGGCCACAAAGACTCTTGGCTCCCTCCCCCCCGTGACCAAGGATGGGACTCATTGCCAACAACCCCAGGCTGGGGTGCGGTGAGGGTTCGTTCCCCTGCGCCCGGCCCTGTGTGGCACATGGCAGGTGGGACAGTGCAGAGGGGTAGCTCTGCAGGCAGCCTGCCCATTGCACCCCTGCAGCAAACCCAGCTCTTACCTGCAGCCTCCTGCAGCTCCYGCCGCAGCCGCTGCTCCAGGAGCTCCATGGAGATCTCCTCCCGTGCCCGACCCGCTCGCCAGAACTCCAGGGCGACCTCATTGATGGTGTTGCCACCGAGATTGCTGCAGACACAGGGGGAGGTCACTCAAGGCTGGCCCTGGAGCTGAACTGCTGAGAGCCCYCAGCAGCTCCCTTGGCAAGGGAGGATTGGCTGTTGAAGGTCAGCACAGGGAGAGCCATCCTTCTTCCCAAAGAGCCCCTTTCCACAGGCATTGATACTGCTGTCTGCCACCCTGCCAGCTCAGACCCAGAAGAAGCAATCYTCCATCTCCCTCAGTCCCCCGTCCTGGCCTGGGAGCCATCAGCCTCGCAGGTGACACTTGGCTCCACACCAAATGCTGAACAAGCCACCACAAAGTCCAAGCTAAAGGGCAGAGCTGGGAACTTGTGTGGGTGGGAGGCACAGACCCAATCCTTCCTCTCATGTCAGAGGCTCTGGACTCCAAATGGAAGGCAGGCAAAATTAAAAAGCCACCACTGTTTCCTAGCCCCTGCCTAATTAGAGGGGAAACAGCCTGCACTGATCCTTGCTCCCAACCCATACTATGGAAGAAACAGCCCCTTCTGAACGAGGACAGGCAGCCAGCCCCACCCGATCCCCAAGTGCCACAGCTGGGCAAGGCTGCAGGATTGTGCCAGTGTCCACAGGAGCCCTGGAGCAGAGCCAGCCCTGCTTCAGCAGGTCAGTGTCACACTGCCACCAGGGATGATGAAACCCCTGCGACTATACAGWGCTGCAGTTCAAGGCACCCTGCTCCCCTCTGCTTGGTGACATGAGGTGGGGTCACCCAGGGTCCATTCCTGATCTTCATGGTTTGCCAGGCAGGACACAGGGTCAGCCCAGTGCAGCCAGCAGCACATCCACCCTGTGCTGAGCATTCCTTAAGGGCTGCTTCAGACAGGTGCGGGCCTCATATCTTCTGAAATGTCCACGGGCAGCATCTGAAATGTCCAGGTTCTGAAATGTCCCACTTCTCCCTCCAGCACCATCCCACCTAGGGACAGTGCTGGGGAAGGGAACCCACTAAACCAGGCTGTGCTGATGCCAGATCAGCCTCACAGCACCTCAGTCTGCAGCTACAGCCAGGCAGTGGGTGCAGCTCCCAGCAGGGCACAGGAACTTCCCACCAAGGCCTTCAGCCCCAGCTTTGCTCCCTGCAGGATGCAGGGACATTCCCTCAGCTGGGCAGGGTGACACCACATTAACTGACTCTGCTTCCTTCCTCTAAGTCTAGACACTGGCTCAGGTATTCCAGCTCAGCTACTCCCAAAAATGCCCTGCTCCAGGAGGGGGGCCCAGCATCCATGGATAAAACTGGCCACAGAGGTGACCACCACGAGGGAGGGAGGTATCTGTGCCCTCCCCTGCAGCCTGAGCCCCTGGTATCACACATTTCAGGGGATAAATTCCATCACGTGGTCCCTCCCCATCCCTCAGGAGCCCAGAATTCACCTGAGGAAGAGGAAGATGGATCTCTGGGGAACCGCCTGTCCCTCGTTGTGGTGGTGAGCCATGAAGGGCCTGATGGCATCCAGGAGGCTGTAATGCAGCTTCTCAGCCTCGTCGAAGATGAACAGGGCCTGCCTGCAGTGCTGCAGGGTCTCGCTGATCTGCCTCTGCAGCTGGGCCTGTGCAGACACGGGGAGGAGCCCTGGATAACCCAGCCAGGCACCACAGTGCTCTGTGTCCTTCCCCCCAGCAGGACAGGGCAGGGAACAGGGAGAGCAAAAGCAGGAAAACCAGTGAGGTGAGAGAAAAACAGCTTAATAAGTGAAGGAAAGAGGAAAGAAAGAAATGAAGTGGTGCAAAGGCCGCCACCCACCCTACCACAGACTGATGCCCAGCCAATCTCTGAGCAATGGTTTCCTGCCTCCAAACCCCCTCCCCGCATTTTTATTGCTGTGACAGTAAATGAYACAAAATATCCCTTTGGTCACCTGGGCTCAGCTCTGTGGTGTACCCAGACTTCTTGTACACTGCCATTCTACTGACATCAGGGGCAGGGWGGGAGAGGGGAGAAGCTCAGGAATAACCACGACAAGGGACTGGGATCCACAGTTTCACCCACAAATCCAGCCACAGCCCCATGTGGGCTGCTGGGCAGGACAAGAACCCCAGCCCATGAGCCCATCCCGTGTTGCTGACTCTCACCTTGTACGAGTCCACGTAGTTGTGGTGTGGGAAGTGGAGGAGGGACACGAACACCCTGACACAGTCACTCTTCAGCCCGTCCCGRTACAGGTGACTGGCCACCATCCGTGCCACAAAGTTCTTCCCTGTGCCAGACCAGCCGTGGAAGGACAGGACCAGAGCCTTCTGGGGCCTTGGGCTCAGCAGGAACCCCTGCACCGCCTGCACCACCACTTCCTTGGCCAAGTGCTGCCCATGGAGCTGCTCACGAAGGTCTGCTTGCAGCCCTGCAAGAGAGAGCACAACTCAGCCTTACACTGCCAGYACAGCTGCTGCAGGTGGGAATAAGAGGAGAAAATGTAGCAGGGCTGCCTGTCTGAGAAGAGTCTGAAGTGGCATTAAAGTCATAGGCTGCCTGTGCCCTGCCTGCRTCAGCTCTGGYCCCRAAAGGACWCAAATCTTCCACTGACTCCTTTTTYYMTTTAGGAAGAGGYGGAGGTGTTYGGCAGCTGCAGAGAGCACTGATGCCCAAAGGCCATCCCAAGCTCCCAGCAGAGAATTTGGATACCAGGAGTCTCGGGGACCAACAAAACACAGACACCTACTCATGGATTTCACAGGGGTCTCAGTGTCCCCTCCCGACCTAGGACAGGGTCTTGGGCCAGCCTGGATCCCGCTGCATGTGCCTGGAAGCTATGGGATGCACAGCTGGAGTAGATGTGCTGTGTACTAAGGAACAAGCTCTCTTTGGTCTCAGAACTTCAAACAGGACTCAGGACTCAGCCTCTCATCCTCCCACAGCTCAGCACGCTGCTCAGAAAAGCCCTTTACTTACATAAATTTCTAGAATACACTTAAACAGGAAAAAAACCCTCGAAGCAAGCGGCACACAAGCAGCACAGCCCTTACCTGTGATGTTGTTGATTATCCTGCAGTCTCCCGTCTCGCAGCACCTGCCGAAGCTGCAGTACCAGGCAGAGAGGATCTCCAGGTAATCCTGGCCCACCAGAGGAAAGCCCCAGCCTGGAAACGGCAGCAGTTTGAGCAGAGGTGTTCCAGGAAAATGCCTTTTTTTGCCTCAGCTGAGCCCTTTGGGGCAGCCCTCTCCCAGGTGCGGACTCAGCCGTGCCCCTGCGGGCAGCCCGGGCTACAGGGAGGGGCAKCAGCTGCTTCGAGATGGCTCCGAGYGCCCAAGGAGTACAAGTGCACTGCCCTCACCTCSGGATATGCCAGGGAGGGAGATGCCCGGGGCAGCGACCCTCGGGAAGGGAAGCACAGGAGCCGGGGCAGGGCAGGGTGTGCTGCTCCCTCCTGGGCATGGACAGAACAGAGCAAGGTGCTTACTTGGGATGGGACGGGACTCTSCTTCTTCTTTCTCCTTCTGCTCCTCGCAGCCCTCCTGCCACACCCTGCACGCCAGGTACTGCCAATACTGCTTGGAGAGAGCACCCACAGCTCCCAAATGCTTCTTCACGGCTTGGTACCTCCCGCTGCCCCACGGGCCCCCCTCCGGGCCGGCTCCCTGCTCCTCCGCCCAGGGCTCCCGGGGCCGTGGCGTTGTCCCGGGGCTGCCCGAGCCGCCGAGGAACAGCAGCAGCACCAGGACGCAGCAGCCGAGCCCCCGGCGTGCCGGGAGGCGGCCCGGGCCCATGGCCGTGCGGGGTCCCGGGGTCGCGGCGGTGCGGGGTCCCGGCGGTGCGGGGTCCCGGGGTCCCGGCGGTGATCTCAGAGGTCCCGGCGGTGCAGCCCCCCCGGGCCCGGGCTAATCTCACTTCCTGGCGCTGCCAAGGGCGTTGCTGGGGAATGGCCGCGAGCGGCACCGGCCCGGCCGGACGTGGCTSCTCTGTCGCCGCGGCCAAAGCCAGCCCCGTGTCCGAGCAGAGGCCCCCGGCCCCGCCCAGGCCCGGCCAGCCCTGGCTGCGAGGGGAGGGAGCTGGAGCGGTGCCCAGGGAGGCTCCCGAGCACCACGGCGGCTGCTCCCATCAGGGGAAGGCAAATACTCTGTTTTAAGGAGCCCAGCGGCTCGGCCGAGGTTTTGCGGCTACAAATGCAGGAGAACATGGCAGTTGTTCCTCAGTGTCCTTTCCAAGGGGACACAAGGCAGCAGCAGATGAGTGAGCCCGGCTGTGGCTGCTGCCTGCTGTGCTCCGAGTTGAGGAATTCGCTCAGAGCTCTGGGACACACGGCTGTGCTGCTGGCAGGGGGGCGGGCTTGCTGTGTGACACTGGAGGTGCCATTCATCAGCGAGCCGAGAAATGCATCCCTGCACACCGGGACATCCAGGCACCGGGACATCCAGGCACCGGGACATCCAGGCACCGGGACACGCAGCGGGCGCTGCTCAAGCAGCCAGGAAAAGAAATAACCACATGGCATAGAACCACCACCGGGTAGCCCATGAGAACTGAGGGACAACTCACTGCCACCATTAAGCTCATCACCAACCCAGTTTCTCCAACCAGTTGTAAACCCTCTCCAGTACAGGGAAGCAGCCACTGCAGTGCTTAGGGCTGGCTCGGGATCCGAGAATCCCATACAATCCCTGCCTCTCATGTTGGACACACACTCGGCTATGGGGGCGAATATTAAAAAAATAGATAATTCCTGTATAACCTGCATTTTATCTTAAGCTGTACCCCACTGCTGCCTTACTGTAAGGGAGTGACACTCTACAATTACTGAGCAGCAGGACAAGTCCACTCACAACATATCCTAACTGAGACCAAGGCCAAGAGGCTTTGGAAATGGAAAGGATTTCAAGGTTATCCCACATGCTCAGAAAAATAAAACCAAGAAGGACCATAAATAGAATTAATCCAGCCTGGTAATTTCCTGGTCCAGGTGGATGGGAGGTGGGGGAGATGCAGCCCAGCATGGAGCAGAGTGCATCACAGGTGCCTGCAAATAWTACACAGCAGCATTAAAAATACTGGGACTAACAAAACTGCCCCTACAAAAACAGTGAGGCCGAAACCTGAACACCAGTTGCAGTAACTTAAACAGAACTAAACCCAGTGCATTAAATAAATCAATTAAAAATYAAACTTGCTGTAGCCATAGCAAACTGAACTGCTGTCAGCCTTTCTGAAAACTAGTTGAGRCATCTGAAGCATTTATACACATTYATTAAAAAAWTCACAGCTGGACCATTCAAACTTTKCCCACCTGGGATAACTGCTCTATCTGAAAAGGGCTTATTAAAAGGGACAGACTTAATAAAAAATAGATACTTACATGCTCCAAAGGAAAAAAGAAAATTCTGGAAGATAAACTGATTGACTGTCCAAAACTGCACCTGGGATGTCAGCCTTGCCCGAGTGCAGCACATAGTAAGAGCCAGAAGAAAAAATAAAGTGAGTTCTTTAGCAGGCCCTGGCACGGGTATCCCAGAGAAGCTGTGACTGTCCCAGCCCTGGAAGTGTTCAAGCCCGGGTCAGATGGGGCTTGGAGCAGCCTGGGATAGTAGGTGTCCCTGCCCATGGCAGGGGGTTGGGACGAGATGATATTTTAAGGTCCCTTCCAACCCCAACCATTCTGGGACTCTGTGATCCTGACTGTTCTCTGTCTGGYCCTGCAGGTACTGAGGCACTGGAGTGTTGTGAGTGCCTTTTACCCTCCTTGTATAATTCAGTTCCCTATGTGRGACCTCAGGGAGGAAATGATCCCCGTGGTTAGAAGGGAACCTGCAGGAGACTGGAAGAGATCCCAGTGCCTTATGCTGGGAAGACCTTGCTCATACCTGCCGTGAGTTTAGGAAGTATCAGGGCTTTTTTTCCTTCCTCTGCTGAAATCCTGACTACAGCATCTGCTGATTCTGAGGTGAGTCTGGCAGCAGAGGCAGCTGCAGGGACCTGCAAAGCCCCAGAGAGGATGGGAGGATGCTCAGCTTGTCACTYGTGGCAGGTTATTGCAGGCAGTCAGTCCTGGTGAGCAGCAACCCCCTGATTAAACTTCCACCACCTCGGCTCAGCTCAGCTCCATCTGAAAAGAGAAACAGCACCACAAGAATTGCTCAAGCCTGGCTTATTCCACACCCCAGTGCAGCTCAGGGCAAGCATTCAGAGGGAACCCTGCAATCAAGATTTTCATTTACAGACTGCCCAGGGAAATGCAATGCACCCTTCTTTTAGTTTTTTTTCCCATTTCCATACAGCAATTCCTGCTGCTCATCCATTGCTGCACTCTGACAGAAGGCAGGGGGAGAAAAGCYTCTCTCCAGAGCTCAGGATAACACAGCAATGGATTAGGTCACTAAATCAAGGAAAGATCTGGAATAAAGGGTATGAGGAGTCCTTTCCCCTCCTTCATTTTTTTTCCCCACGAAGTCCTATCTCTCCCTAGTCTCTTAAAAATATTGACTCTACAAAGAACAAACAAATCACCAGATCACCAGTCCCACACTTGGGATATATGAACCCTTTTCATCTCTAATTTTTACATTCAATAAAAAAATTGTAGGGAGAGGATTTGAGAACTTCAGGGGAAGTGCTTATTATCAACCCACTCTGGTTCTCCATTGGTTCAAGGTTGTTTGTGTTCATTCTTTTATAAAAGTACATTCATTACACAATCAGAAAGACTTTAAAATCTCCCAGTTATACAAATTTTCCCTCTGTTACTAAGGCAAACCACTCCAAAAATACACAGCAGCAGCGCAACAAAGTGCTTGGAACAACAGCTCTCCAAACTGCCAGTTTCAGCCTGTCAGAACTTAAAAGCATCTCTAGTTGTTGAACTGCTCATACACAAGCAAGAATCCTGTCCTGATCCCTGAGCAAATTGGCACCTCAAAAATAGAGATGGAAGAAAGGAAAAGTTACTGTCAGCGCACAATGCTGGGAAACAAAAAACCCCAGAATATCCTCCCCCACAAAACCCTCAAAATAAGCCCCAGAAAGCAGTTCTTACAGAATTCAACAATGCTGAAACCCAAAGTTTCAAGGGAGAAACTCTTTTAAAGAAAAGCAAGTTTCACAGCAGCAGCTGATGCTACAGGGCAGGTCAAAGATCACTGAATTCAGAACTGCTTCACTTCCTGCCTCTGAAACACTCACTGTTGGGGTATAAGAAAAACCCTGACAGAGCCTGAGTAAAGTTCTGCACTCAAGGCAAGCAGACTGAGCTGCCCTGTCTCAGTGAAAGCTCAGAAAAGGCAACCATGAAGCCTTCCCTGCCAGCTCTACAGACACCTCTTGCAACYCAGCATCCACCCCTCGTTCCAGGGAACAAAACCAAGCTGCTGGGACACTGCCAAGGGCTCACCAGTGCTCASGAGATGCAGGACSGTGGGATGCACTGGCAAAAGACCAYTTCACTCTAGGTGTGTTTGATTTCTGTTTCCCTTTGGGATACTCTTCCTTCCTCAGCAACAAGGCTCTTGCAAACAAGCTGCACGTTTGACCCCATTTTTGGATATACAGGGCTGGAATAAATATCACTGACAACCATTAGYGGAGGAGGAACTGGAAACAGCAGCAGCAAAACACTTCACACATTCAGCCCACCACATGTGGGAACTGAGAGAGACAGACAGGGGAGGGAGAGAGAGACTTAACCAATCCATCAGTGTTGCTTTATTAAAATCTTTATTCACACAATGTTGCTTTATGTGGGATCTGACCCCAGGGGATAGGAGTAGAAAGTCATGATTGCGTTCTGTTTGCTTATTAGCAACTCCATTTGTGCAGCAGCTCCCAGGGGCCTCCTCTGGCAGCTCTGAGACGGGGGTCTGTTTCCAGCGTCTTGCTCCAGCTGCCACAGCAAATAAATTACCTTCTTAATAAATTAGTACTTTTGAGTTGAAGTTTGTTTGGCAAGACACACTCCAGTTCATCAGCTGCTGGAAGAGGAGCCGACTCGAGTGTCTCCTCCTGCTGACGCTGACTTGGGAAGGAGGAGGCAAATAGCAGATGGCTGATGAGGGTCTCTTTAATTAGTTCTTGATTTCTGTGCTTGCAGCGCTCTGATATCACTGATAACTATGACACAGCCAGTGTGTATCATCTGGGGCCAGCGTGGACAGTGAACAAGGATCAGAAGATGGCACGAAAACCTCGACAGAGCACCTGCCTTGCAAACAATGTTATTTTTCAGAGATTCAAGCAGACCCTGTTGGCACTTGGATGCTGCCCCTATTTCCTTTGCAATGGTTACAGTTTTAAATCTCTCAGGGGGTTTGTGTTCAAGTGAAACAATCATCACTGCCAAAAGGGCAGAAATTGTCACAAGGCCAAAACCAGATCTTCCTGATTTTGGTTTAAGAGAGGAATTTATTCTTTTTCCTGCTGCAGAACACCAGCCTCCAGTAGTGTTTACCGCAATTAGTAGCATCAATATCACAAATAAAAAAACCAACCCCAAAAGACAATCATTTCTTGCTTCCTTCTATTGATAATGCTGGACTTCACGCCCTTTGTCCACAAGTAAACCAAAATAAACCAAGACCCTGCATTAAATCTTTGACATTCATACTGGGGAAAAATTTATCCCCAGGTTCCATCTGACAGCAAAAGCTTCAGCTTAGAGCAATAGGTAAGTCCTCAACATTAATTAAATTTCAAAGATTGAAAGACTTTTTTTTTTTTTTAACCCATTATTAAATCAAAGTAAATACCAAGTGTGATCATATAGAAATCAAAATCTTGGTAGATCCCTCCCAAAATATTAAGTGCTCATGATTAAGCTCAAAGAGAAGAATATGCTTTTAGAAATGCTATCAGCTACCAMCATGTGCTTCATCATCTCCCCTGTGGGTAAATCATCTGAAATGTCCAGAGAAACAGCTTGTACCAACACTTGGTCCTGTCCCACAGGCACCACTCACAGCTTCTAAAGCTTGTTCTGTTATCAGCTATCAGGTATGAGCTTCACAGTGTCCTCAGAGCTGGCTGTGTGTCCCCATCCTCACCGGGAGCTCCAATAAATAACTCCAGATCCCATCWCATCATCTCATCCCTCTGGGGTGCATCTGCCATGTGGCCAAGTCCAGAAGAGAGCAAGAACATAAAATTCAATCTCAGGTAAACAGTCACATTCTACTTTCAAGATACTCTGCTCATATAATGAGAGAAAGACTTCAGCAAAACAATCTCACATTTTTCAGATAAACTCTCTCCCTGACACCTCCTGGATCAGGTGTGGCCCAGGTGCAAGAACAAGCMAACAGGTCTTTACCTGCCTGCCACACTGCAGAGTTAGAAAGATCCTGACAGGAAAATCAAGGRAAAGGGCTCAAACTGACATTTTGGTACTCTTGCTCTCAAGTTCAGTAACCTGTAATCACTTTGGGAATGGACTCTTCCCTTGTATTAAGGACCACGCTGGCTGAACACTGATGAAAGCTGCTCGATTTGGAAATAGTGATGAAGCTGCTTCTCTTCTGGAGACACAAACTCAGAGCTGCCCCAAGGTGATCAGTTTTATGGCACAAGCTCATTGGCAGCACAGGCTGAGGTGCTGCAGGGTGACAGGACTTGCACAAGATGGGTGCTGCAAGCCTGCCCTGAAAAGCCAACTCTTTTCTRTCTATGGCAAAGGCATTAGTGAGGACCCCAGGACAACCATCCCAGGTAGGACATCACAGTGGGGCTTGCAGGAAGCAGCTGGGGAAGGCAAAAAACCTCCTGGAAGTGGTCACAGCTTCTGAGCTTGGCCACAGCCAGACCAGGGGAATGTGGGACCCAGAGTGGTGCTCCAAGAACAGCAGTGCTGAGCTGTGGTCATGGGGAGCAGCAGGAAGCTCTCTCAGGTGAAGAGACAGATCAGAACTCAGGGCTGTGTCCCATCCTCAGGTTACTGCTGCTAACAGGGCAGTCCACCCATGAAGTCTCATGCCCAGAGGTCCCACAGCACTCAGGGCTCACAGTAAAGCCACCTGACCTYGCTACACACAACTGCTTCCAAGGACAGATTCTGTTCTCCTCAGTTACTGCAGGTTGAAAATTTGGTTATACTGGACTCAGGACTGCAAGGATATCTTCTCCATTCTGACCTTGCCAGATTCCTTAGAGAACAAGGACAAGACACACGGAAACTTACTATAACTTCTTAATTACCAAGTGCTGTATAACGACCCTGTCCTCTCCTAAATCTCCAACCCTGTGGATAWATCTTAGATATGACTTCAGCAAAAACACTGAAACATTATCACATATGAGGCAACCCCCCCYTTCCCAGCCTTTTATCAAGGAAAAGCCAAGTGAGTAGCAGAGGTCCCCTCTCCCACCCCTCATGGCAATCAGAAGAACATCCCACCCCCGGGGGGGTGGCACAACTCTTCAGTCTAACAGTTATTTTATTCGCCCCTTGCTCATTCTCTAGAGAAGCGATAAAATGCCCAACCAGCTCAGAGCTGATTGTGTACAACCCTGAATCAGACGAACTCGCCAGAGTYGAGGGGGAAGAGAAAGGGAGAGGAYTGTAYTGTTCATCTGTGTCCCCTCCAGGTTGAGTCCACGAAGGAGTGTCTGTATCCCACACCTGCACCAGCACCGAGAGCCGTGTTGATCGGGCRCCATGCCCACTGCCAACAATGGACACGCCACGGTGGCCAAGATGCCACTGTGGGGGCCGAGCCATCCGAGGCCCCYTTCCCACCTCTCACTGCTGCCAGCCCAAGGAAAAAGCCAGGGTCACCTCCYTTCCTCTGCCTCGGGAGCTTTCCTGTCCATGTCAGTCCATCTTGGCCRCAGCCCTTCTGAACTGATTGTGCTGTTTTTCTATCGCAATTTTTTCGTTTTTTTTTAAAAAAGGAGTTTTGTCTGGTGTTCCACCRTGATTACAAGTGAGACAGAGTCATCCTGTCTTCCACCAGCACGACATCTGGCCCAAACTGGTCTGTGCACTGCTTSACTGTAGCCAGGATGCTGAGGAGCCGCTGGTCCAGCGCGTCCAGGTGAGAGTCAGACAGCACAGGTGAGATGGGGTCATGCGACATGGCAGTTTTTAAGGCAGACTTCAGGACTCCATTCTTCAGGTAATTCAGCCTGTTCCAGGTAGAAACCCGGATGCTGCAAAGGAAACAAACACACGTAACCACACTACGGTCCTGCTGCAGTCCCATTGGGAATACTGGAGCCTGCCTCCTCAGGGAGCCTGCCACATTGCAAAGGTGGCTTTGGGATGGGAGGGTCCAGATGAAACTGCATCACAGACAGGATCTAAGGAAACTGGAAAACTGAAGGTGATGAAGAATCAATATGCTGTGATGGAACTGTGATGTAACACAGGAACACTTCCAGCTGAGAGYGAGGAAGGTCTTCAGTCCTGAGGCCTCCCAGACACAGTTTGCAAAGGAAAGGAAGGAAAATCAACAAATTCAAACAAAACTCTGGTCACCTCGGGAAGAGCATCACCAACAAATAATTAATCACAAAGGGCAAAAGGCAGTTGACTGAAATTCCAAGAAAGAGAACACAGCAGCAACCTTTCCTGTTCACTGGCTACTGAACCTGTTCGTGTCAGCACAGCTTCAACTCCCATGTTCTGTGAAGTCTCTTGGGATTCTCCYCCAAACCTTTAAGGTCCTAATCTTTAGCACTCCTGCTCTAAACTCTTGGGTTTGATGGCCTCTAATGAAACCAGCTAAATAAGCAATTTAACCTACAGTTAAAACAACTACACATATGTAGCATTTGCCCGGTACCAGAAAGAAGTGATATCTGAAAAGCAGGAAATTGCAAAGTCTCTTACAAAGATAAACTCCTCTTGTTGCATTTTGGAGAATCTAGATGACAAAGACTCCAAAAGAATGTAAATAAGGCAGGAAATCAAATATAAATTTAAATTTAATGTAGGAAAACTGAAGAATTGGAAAATCCTTAAACTGTTTTATGACTTTTAAAAGGATCTTGCAGAATGTAGGCCAGGTGTAYTGCAGTGTGCAGGGAACTGTGCTTAATGCAAGCAGGATGAGAGCTCAGGCTTTCTGCAAAGGTCCCAGGTTTCAAAGGTCCCAGGGAATTTGGAATACAGAAACTTTCAAGGACAAGCTCCATTTGGAAGGTTTAAAGGAGTTAACATTGAAGTGTCACAGTCAAGAAATGGATATATTAGTATTTTTCTTCCTGTAAATTTTCACAGAATCCCCAAATGGTTTGGACTGGAAGAACATCCCTTTCCACCTCTCTGCCATGGGCAGGGACACCTTCCACTAGACCAGGTTGCTCCAAGCCCTGTCCAACCTGGCCTGGAACAATTCCAGGGATGGGGCAGCCACAGCTTCTCTGAGCAACCTGTGCCAGGGCCTCCTCACAGGGAAGAATTTCTTCCCAATATCCCATCTAACCCTGCCCTCTGTCAGTGGAAACCACTCCCTCTTGTTCTGGCACTCCAGGCCCTTGTCCAGAGCTCCTCTCCAGCTTTTCTGGAGACCCTTTATGCACTGGAAAGTGCCCTAAGGTTTCCCCAGAGCTTTCTCTTCTCCTGGTGAACATCCCCAGCTCTCCCAGGCTGTTCCCACAGAAGGTGCTCCAGCCCTTGGAGCATCTATTTCCTAGTGAGGAGTAGCAATGGCCTGGTGACAAAGTGAACACAGAACAGAAATCAACAATTCMCAGCCTCTGAAAATAAAACAAACAAAACCACAGCTCACAAGGCCAAAGCAGAAAGAAAATTCTGCAAAGAAACTACAAACTTCACTTGAGAGGAGTCCCCTGAGTGCTGCAGTTTTCATTAGAAACCATGTTTGAAATCATTATGTTGCCAGACACGTTGGATCATTCACTTCTGTTGGAGGTAACTCAAGCTGGGATGTGAACTTTGATTTGTCAGGAGCTGGATGGGGAGAGCTGCAGATGCAAAGTACCTGTCACACTGGCTATGGATAGAGCTGAACCAGTGACCTGCAGATGAGATCACTTACACTTTCTGCAGCCAACCCTCCGCATAGTGCCTTCATGAAAATGGATTTCTCAGCTTCTTGGGCGGTGACAATCCATCAAACAGACAATATCTCAAAGAAGTAAAACACTGTGGACCTGAGCAAATGTTTTCAGGTTGCCAGAAGGCTCCCGAGTTGATGATACTGCAAACCCACGAACAGAATTACATAAATGAAGTGAAGAGCACCCCCTGTGTTTCACTTACATGCAGCACTGATAGAGAGGAGCCAAGATGCTTCTTTCATCCAGGGCAGGGTTTCCAAAGCTGAAAAGCAAAATTAAAACCAAGTGAACCAGCTGAACTCCTCAGGTTGTTCTCAACATAAAGAGCTTTGTAAAGAATTCAAAGAAATCAATACTAGGCAATTTCATGCTCCAAGAGATYAAATCATTTAAATTAAAATATAAACAGGTCAAGGCGAATCACAGATATAACTCTCAACAGCATCAGCTAAGCAGTGAAACAGAAGCAGCAACAGCATACCCAGTTCTGCATCAGACCAAAGCATCTTAGAAAGGCACTTTAGAGGAATTTAGAAATGATGCAGGGATAAGCAATAACTGATATTCTGGGCATGGAGAATGGGAGCTTTGTCTGTCTGACACAGCTGGGCAGGGAAGGAACCAAACAGCAGCACCCATTAGAGCAACAGTTCATTAATCAGATCACTAACAGATCACTAAGTGATCGACTCAAACATTTCATGCCTACACTGTCTAAGGAAGCCAGAAGGCTTCCAYGGTATTTCAAGCTTCATCTAAATACATGCTGGATTTATTTTTCATAGTTTCACCCTCCTCATAACACTGTTTTCAATGAAGAACTTTTTCCTCAATGAAGATATGCTGCTGTAGAGACCTGGCATTATGCTGCCCAAATAATTCTGTTATTAATAGCTTTCAAATTGGAATGAGCTCCCAGGGAAGAGGGCATGGCCTCAAGGAGCATCTCCTCTTAGTCACATGGTTTAGTTTTAGGTGTCCTGTAAGGAACAAGGAGCTGGGGCTGATGATCCYTATGGAAGGAATCCATTCTAAAAAGATAAATGGGAAAAGAAAGGTAACTCCAGGGCTGCTCAAGGATCTCCAGGGTCTCAAGTGCAGTGCACACTTGGTACAAGGTACAAGTGCTGTGCAAAGCCAGAGCAGAGCCTTCACAGAAGGGAAACTGCTGGTCCTTCACAGAAGGGGAAACTCGCTGGCACTGCACATGGGAGTGCCCACCAGAAAAATAAATAACTCTCAATTGCTGGACTAAACAATGACATGTAGATGATTATGTTTTTAAGAAAAATGAAGCAAATTGTTATGATTTAAACAAGGTTATGTCTTCATATGATTTTAAACTTAAACTATAGTGGACGACAGAAAAAAAACACATAGCAGAGACAAAACAACTCACATTTTAAATACATTTTAAAAGCATTTTTGTTTGGGTAAGACTTCATACCCACATTTAGAACATCTTATTTTGCTTTTGGTATCACTTCTACCTCCATTTTAGACTTTTAACCTTTCAAAGCCAGAGTAGGCATATCCAGAAGGCAGGAATGCCAAATTATTCAGAAACACACCTTGAAAAGATCTGCCTTTATTACAGCACTCACCAATACTGACTGGTGATTAATAAAAATTGTAATTTTTTAATCTTCCATCAATTAAAAGCCTAAAAAAAAGGGCTTTTCTGACGATAGGAGGAGAGGCTTGAGCAAAGCTTTGAAAATTGCTTTGGGAAATAATGTGCTAATTGGGGAGTTTCTTGAGTAAGACCTTCTCAAGACAGAACAGTACCTAGAATGTAGAGTAGAACCACACAGTCCTGGAATGGTTTGSCTTGGAATACCTGGGTTAAAGCTCATCTTGTTCCACCCCCTTTCCATGGGCTCCCACTRTCCCAGGTTRCTCCAAGTGCTGTCCAACCYGGCCTTGAACACTKCCAGGGATGGGGCAGCCAYAGCTTCTTTGGGCAACCTGTGCCAGGGCTCCATCATTCTCACAGGGGAGAATTTCTTCCTAATACCTGATCTAAACCCACATTCTTTCAGTTTGAACCCATTCCCCCTTGTCCTGTCAGCATCGCAACCTTTGAAAGACCCTAAGATTTGGCGAGTAATTTCTGATAAAAAGGAAAGCCTATTACAAAGGATATTAATGAATTAATTAGTGAAAAAAAACAGAGAGATACAGTCACTGCCAGGCCAAGAGGACTTTGCCAGGCTGACCTTTTGGCATTATCCAGCAGGATGAGCATGCTGGCTCCCTCATCATCCTGGAAGCTCTCGTAGTGGTGCCGGTCGGCGTTGCCGATCAGGTAATCGAAGATGGCTGTGTCGATGATGTCCAGCAGCCGTGGGCCCGAGTCGTAYGGGGATGTTTTCTTCACAGCATCGCAGTAGCTCTCGTCATACTCCCACCTGCAGCCAGAGAGGAGCCAAACAGCCCTTCAGGGAACCACACTGCACAGCAACAGCACCTGGAGCTGCCCTGCAGTCACCTGTGAGTGCACCAAGGAAAGGGGAGCAGCCCCTTTCAGAGAAGGAAGAGCTTGACTACAATGTTTCATGGAATAGTAAACCAAGCACTAACATCCCAGCATTTGGAGCAAGCTGTAGTTTCAGTTCAAGAAAACACAAAGATCACCTTCCTACAGAAAACAAGGTAAGAGTTTGCTTCCTCACGACTCCACAGTAGCTGGGCTGCCTTGTGGGAAGATTACTGCCATGCCTTGCCTCCCTCAATTTCCAGAGGAAGGATTTCAGTACTGTTTCCATTGCCTTGAGCTGTTTSCATCTGGCTTTCCAGCCCTCCTCTTCCTTTTCTCTTTCTAATGCAAATATCCCCATTGTGGTTAGTAATGAGCCCCTGTGCCCCCAGCAGAAGGGATTCACGTGTTCATTCTCCTTCACTCACTGCTGTCTCTTTGCTCCCCACTTCCTTTSCAGAATATCTCACCTTCTCCACTGACAAGATTTCAAGCTTCTCTCTTATCTCCTTCTCCTTCTCCACCTAATCTTGTTACACAGATGCCATGTCTCAATTCTCCAAACCTATGATTTTAGATTTTCTCATTTTCTTCTTTACAGCTTTCAAAGCTATTCAACACGGCCACTAAAAACAGCCAAATCTCTGCTGTATATCCTTTCYATCTGTCAACCTAAAGAACAAGGACATCTATAACATCTTCCATGTAAGGACTGAAACAGTCCTTCACAAACCAGCAGTTAAATTGGAAATGCCTTAAACCATCTGTGATTTGGAAACAGAGATGGAGGAAACACAAGCTGSATAGACTTGTTGACATGCTCAAAACTGCAGACAGTCATAAAAATAGGAAGATCAGAATTTAATTACTACAACTGCCACATAGCCCACTTCCATCTTCTAGTGGTCTGGAGCCAAAGGTCCCAACATCCCATCTTTCCTCCAGGTATCCAAATYAGAGAGATTAAAAATTTACCTTCTCAATGTTTTTGATAACAGGTCCTCAAATGCTGTGCCCAAATCCCTCTGCAAAGAGGGATCTTTGCACCAAGATCCAACTCACATTCAACTTGCAGCACAAATCCATACAGCAACAGTCTCAGAACCTCTTCTCCTTGTGCTGGATACATTTCTTATGCTGCATCCCTCTCTCCCTCAAGTGTTTCTTTCTCTCATTTTACTTTAGAGCGGTACTTAATCTCCTTGCCACAATTTTTCAGATATACTATGCTCTCTCTCTTCATTTTCCATGCAGTCTTTCAAGAGAGACTTTTCTCCAACACTCATTTCTGATCATTTATATTGTATTAGCACAGGCCTTGGAAGGTCAGGGATTTTATCYATTACACCTCCATTAAAAATTACGTACACTAATGTGCCTGTGTGAATTATGTTYGAAAGGTCAACTAGGAACAGCAGCTGGAGCAGGAAAGAATACTTAGGGAGTTATTTTTCCACAATTACCAAGCACAGAAAAAGGAGAGTATGACACCAAGAATGTTTAATTATCCTGATCTCTCMAAGTGAAATGTGCAGTGTGACAAGGTGAAAAACACCTTGTAAGCTCATCTGAAGGAGGCAAGAGCGAATTTAAATACACCAAATACCACACCAGCACAGGAATTAAGGTAAACCCCTGTGCAAGCAGGCAGGGTATGATGAAAAGCAGCCTCTCAACAGGAGGAACACCTCCAAGAAACTCATCCTGCCAGGTTCATTACTGCCAGGTACCATGTACTGAACACAGCTGAATTTGACCTGCTGGGAAAGAGAAAACATCTGCTGCTCAACAGTCAGTCTGGGCATTTTATACTCTAAAACAATTCAGTGAAGCCTTTGGATRAGATTCTTTCTGAGAACAATCACATCATTGGAAATCAATGGATACTTTAGTTCAAGGACTAAAAATCTAATAATTTTCAAGTTCAAGACAGACTTGGAAAAATTTACTAAGCTCAAACCCAGTTGTTCTGCTCATGGCAAAAACATCCCCACCCCATGAACTCAGATGTGATGGACCTACTGTAGAAGACTCTTAAAGAAGAACAAATGTGGGATTTAGCATTCTTTATGTGCTGAGCATGGTCACCAAAAACTGATGGCATTCAAAGCAAAGGACTTTCCAGTGCCTACCTTCTTAAGCTAAACCAGCTCCATACCTCTCAAAACATACTACAAGGACCATGAAATCAGGTCTGRCACAGTGCTACCACATTTTGGTGGCCACAGAGTGGCACAGCATCAGCAGAAGGTCCAGTGGCACAARAGAAGAGTCATGGTTTGCTCACAGCCAAGATTTTCAGAGCGTAGAGTGACTGAATTGTGGAGCTMTGTTTCAGTCAAGATGCAGGAAAAGGACAACACTTAATATTGTGGAAAATAATGAAGATTTCTTTCTTGTTCATTTCAATTTAGATTTTTTTCCTAGATTTCTTGGCTTCTGCTGTTGTACTAAGAAAGCTGTTGACATAACTCTAGGTTCTGGGAGTACTTAGTGCTCTTTAATTAACCATTTATTAACCTATTTCAAAGGTTATTTTAGTACAAATCACCATGTAGAGAACAGCCCTGCCACGTTCTCATACCTGGCAAGTTTGCCCTCCCGGTAAGTCCTGCCCCAGGGGTGCCGGTGTTTCTGCAGGGGCCAAACGTCCGGCAGCCACAGTGTCACTGAGCCCTCCATGATGTCCCCATCAGCACAGGCTGGCTCTGTCTCCCGACAATAGTAGCACTTCCCATAGAAGCAAGTGTTATTGCCTTCAAGAGAAAAATTAACATGTATCAGAACAGGAGAACTTAATCCAAGGAATCCAACTGAAATTCAGGAGCGACATCCTTCTCCACACCAGGATTTCACTGCACTTGTCCTTGTGCTTCCATTCTCTGAGAGGGAGATGCTCAAAAGAGATTACACAGACATCCATTCATTCAGAGCAATTAAATACTAATATGAAAAGGAGAGAGCAATTATATTTTCTAATGACTTTATCACTCTGAGAATACAACACTATCAACAAGTTTTTGCGATCCTTTCCTAGTCTTCAGGACCCTGACTTTGCAAACTTAACACTGTTTGTTTTTCACATTTCATACTTCATGTGTCAGATTTCCCATTTCTTTGAAAAACYTGACCAAAAATAGGTAAGTGAAAAGAGACACAGAAGAACTCAAAGGGATTTGGTGCCCTGAGACCCACCACATGTCTCAGCTACTTGAGCTAACTCTGCAGAGGAGACAGAAACAAGTATTATTTTCACATAATCTAGAAATCTAGATGTCTCAAAGCTTCACCAGTGTCTTCTGACAGTCTTGCAACAAAACCCTGCAGCCTTTAGTCCACTAACACTGATGCATCCTGTAGCATCAAGTAATCTGGAACGGCCTGCATTAATAGTTTTAATTGAACCTTTTCTATTTTCCCCTTCTAACCCACCTTGCTTGATCCTCACCAAGTTAAATCCAGTTCCATGCTCACAAATGTTCTTCCAAAATATTCTTCACCTGTGTCTCCCTTGGTCATGATGACTCTGTCCTTTCTTCCTTTGGTTCTACATCCAATGTCCTCCCCAAACCGGGCTCAGCTCTCTGAAAGCTGTGTTTTACCCCTTCCATTCTTACACATCCCTTCAGCATGTACTCCTTTGGAGCTCTCCATCCACACCCAGCTCCTGTGCTCCCAATGTACCATCAGACAGCTTGAGGATGTCAGAGATCATTACCAACTCAGAGCTTGCACACCAGATCTCTTATTTGTAGGGAAAGCCCTGCAAGTCTCTGTTCCCATTCAGGGCCTGCAGCAGGTCCAGCAAGAGACAGAATTCTTGGAGATYCTAGCTGCATCTCCAGCAAACCTGCACTGAGTCAGCATGAATTCTTCAGAACCTCTGGAACTTGGTCAAATTTGGCCTGACAAAAGATCATAACCTCCTCCCCAGATCCACCCATTCCTTTAGCTCCTGCTTTGCAGAACAGCAGTTCTGAGGAATCTAACAAGGAGCAATGAAAATTTCTGGAGCCATACTTCTCAATTCAGCAGTGCTGCTAGAAAACAGCTTAGTTATCTTGGCTGAAATTTGAAAATGTAAATCCTGCCTGCAGCAGGCACCCCATGTGAATGCCAGGAGAGTTTGAGGCTGAGCTGAAACTTTCATCTGAAAGTTACACCTTGTAAGTGGCAGTATCAGGCAGCAGGTGAGACTGCCAGCAGTGCTACTAACAGGAACGCTACCAGCTGGAAGGAACAATCATCTCTAGAGCCTTCTGAGTAGAGAGAAAAACAAACAAACAAAAGAGTAATAATTTGATGGTTTATAAAAGCCTGAAAAAGTTAGGGCTGYAGCGTAAGTAATTTCTTGGTGCCTAATGACCACCTGGTAAGAGTTCACATTAATAGCTCCTTTTATGTCTCCTTCACAGCATTATTACTGTACACAACACAGGGAAGTGCTGCCACATTTGGCTGTAAATGCTCTGCAGGCTCTGATGCAGCACAAACAACATCTAATACCAACCAGTGTGTCAGCTCCATAAATGATCCCAAATCTTTATGTTAAATAAAATTTTATTTCTTTCTTTTCAGGTCTAATCACAGACTTTTCTAACCATCTCTGGCAGCAGAAAGAAAATTCTTACTAAAAAAAATAAAATCCCATCTGTAACAGCAGCATGAGGGAACACAGAGCAGTTACAGAGGGAAAACTACTTGAAGAAAATCAAGTCCTCCTCCCCCGCTGAACAGAGTTATCCAAGATTTCTCCTGGCAGAGAAAGAGCTTCCTGTATCACGGTTAACTGTTCTATAGCTGTGTCAGGTTCCCACGGCTCTTTTTTCCCATTAAGCATTTTTCCTTCACTGGGCAGCACAGTCCATGGAMTCCACTTACCCACGGTCATGAAGGTGCCCAGGAGCTGCTCGGTGGCCACGGGTTTGATCTCTGTGCGCAGATTCACAAACCTGCCAACCACCAGCGGGGCTCGCCGGAAACCCAGGATTCTGAGTGGGGGTGAAAAAACACAACCTGAGAATTTGCAACACTAGCAGCAGTTCAAAATTAAAACAAAAAAAAAAAAAAACCACAGTCCCTGTCAGAGATGACAGAAGCCAAAGAGCAAACTTGGAGCCCTGCAGCAACTTCCTCCAAGGCAAAGTAAGGAAACTCATTTTTCTTCTGTGCCTGGATGTTAAGCTTGCTTTGTAGGCTGTCAGTGACACTCCTTTWTTAAAGCATTTGCAGCAGAGCAACAGAGGATGCACCATGCTCCAACTCTCAGAAYTCAGACCTCACACCAGAAATATCCATCATGTGTCTGAAGCAGGTTGAAGCAATAAAACCATATGGGCTGTGGGGCTGGTGGTCACCTGGAAAGATAATTTATAATTTGTGGGAACCACTATCTATTAAAATGTTAAGCTCAAGCCCAACTCAATTACACTTGAAAGCAACCAACACAGGAGTTGTTTTGTTTGGCATGAGAAGAAGAACGGAAGACAGAATGGTAGAACAAAAGTGAATGCCTGAGAAGTSCCTGAAAAAACAGAGGTGGGAAGAACAACCATAAAACTTGCAGTTACAGGATCCAAGTTCCACTCCCATGCCTGCCACAGCCTTTGCTCTGTGACCACAAATGACTTGGGTATTTGTAATGGAATTTTAAAAGCGCTTAAAGAAGTACAAAGATTAGTACAGTGTCAGCTCCAACTCTCTTAATGCACTTTTGACACCCTTTTGACAGTTTTTGCATCTCAAAAACAGAGCCTGAAAAGGCTCTTCTGGAAAAGGGACAATTGTCATTCCACAGAGGTATTGGGAGAGTCACTCCAAAAACTGATAAGGATTTGTTTTAGATATTCGATGAGTAAACCCCCTTCTGTAAGTATAAAATAACTCTAAGAAAGGGCAACACAAAATGTCTGTCTGAACAAGTCATGTGCATAAAGACAAAATTCACAGCAGCCAATACCGAGCTGGGCACAGCCTCAGCAAAAGCGGGTGTTCCAAGAAAACAAGCACAGAGCTTACATGTGGAAAACCTGGCCCTGTATTTTCAGACCCACAGCTGAGAAGCCATGATCCTGGAAGGCACAGCCTCCCCATTAGTGGTAAACACACAAAATGATCCAGATCCTTCTTGAAACAATTGTATCCTTGGACAATATTTGGAACTATTACCATTCAACACGAAGGTACAGATTAACATTYTAGGGCAGGTAGCTTATGACTGTAGCAGCAACGGGTGCTATCATCAAACCTTCCTAGAATTTCCACTGCCTGTGCAATGAGTTTCACGGGTGTATCAGGATGAACAAACATCTCTGTCACCACCTATGAATTAAGTCATCAGGAAAAGGCTCACATTTACCTACTGAGAAACCTCAGTTTACGTTCAACCACTCTATCTTTGTTACATTTGTCCCTCCTTATSACTTTTCTCAAGATTTTATGTCTCTTCACCTCCAAATCTTCCTACAAGGAAGCAGAGACTGTGCTCATTAATTCTATGTGAAACYGCAGCTCTTACAGCATTTCATAACTATTGACATTCAGTGTCTGCTATTTTCTGTCCCATTCTTTGTACATCCTATAATTTTTGGGTTTTCCTGTAGTTGCACCTCCAGCACAGGTCTACAAAACCACCTGGCTACCCCAAGTATAATTAGTATATGAATARCTGGTTTTCCTCTAGGATGCACTGCTTCATATTTAGCCTAGATTAAAYTGTTAGTCTAGACATTAGTCTTGACTTTTTAGTGAACAGCACATGAACTTAGCACATACATTTAGTATTTCAGACTCCTCCACAATATTTGGCTAAACTCCTGTAATAATAATTSTATTTTTATGCTCTCCTGTAATATTATCTAATTCTATTATCTAATTCTCCCTTGTAATATTAACYATAGTGGTTTCAGGGCTCATTCTCTTTTCCAGACTTTTCACAGATATCTGACATGTTACAATCTCAAACAGATTTTCGAAMAGTAGTTTCACAGAAAAAGCTGATTTGTATTTTGGCTTCAATGTGGTATATTGGCAGGTTAGAGGTAGCTCACATCTGAGGTGTAGTCTTCGAAGAACTCCCTTTTTTCCTAGTATTTTCCAGAGACAATAAAACCAGATAAAGCAATTCCATACCTGTCCAAGTGAAAGGCTGCCACTTCTGCGTTGTGTCTGTCGTAGCCAGCATATGGTTCTCCTTCCACTACATAATCCCTGGCATATCTGTAATTGAAATAAGTCAAATAAAGTGAGTCTATGTGGAATTACCATCAATTTTGCTGTTCAGAGTAACAATTTAATAACAGTGCTACATTAAAGAGTCTCTGGGTCACTTGCCAAGTGATTGCCAATGGGAGAGGAAAAAAACATCAATGAGATTAAARTGTCCAGACTGTTGAAGTGGTAAATAAGGAGGAAAGGTCAGTGATGGACAGTGGTCTCCAGAACTTGGGAGGCAGTTCACCTTCCAACTAATAAATTTTAATCCAACCATATGCCAAGTCACATCTTAGAACAAAGAGCACAGACCCTGCTACAGAACAGGGGTCTRTTTATACTGGAAAGCAGCAATTCCTCAGATGATTTTGGGGTTAGAAAGGACTGTACATTAACATGAAAATATGACCTGATAGTGTGGAAGAGATGGCAAATGCAATCTTTAGTAGACAGAAAATCAGCAAGCGTGAACCTTGGACAATACAGGGTATAAGCAGAGCCTTTATTCTGGCAGAGAAAAGACATAATGAACAGCAAAATATAGAAATTAGGCAGTCATTGCAACAATGGTGTATTTTGGTGAAATGGAATGCTTTTTGCTCCCTTTTTTATCTTTTAATAGATGCTACTTAATCAAGGCAAACACCATTTTCTGAGTTTCCTGACATTTGGATCGGTGTAGATACTGCTTGAGCACCATGCTGCAGCTGAGTGTGAAATACCACAATCAATACCGAGCAAACGGGTGAAATGCAACGTTTCCAAATAAACTAAGGCTGAATTAGGTTACCTATTTTCCATCTCTATATCAAATAACTGGATTATTTCCAGCAGAATATGTGTTCAAACAGTAGCAACAACAGTGTAAGAGGAAGCACAGAGCTCTACTTTGATGTTTTAACCTTGCTCAGGGAGGATGTGGGGCAAGAGGACAGTCCACTTCCTCAGTCTGAGCAAATGCTTCAGCTTCTCTGCAAGGCAGCTCAAAAGAGAACTTGCTGGTGTAGGATTCGTGCCAAATGGGTGCTTTCACCAAACCAGCCTCTTCTGTCACATATACCACCAGATGCAATGACAGCAACTATTAATTGTGAGTAAATTAGCCTGGATCTTAAGCAAATTTGAAGTGAGAACCTCAGAACATGTCCTCAAAGACAGGTTTTTGGTATGTACTTACAGCAGGCTTTTGGAAACACAGTCATATTTCGAAAGATAACAGAGCTAAAATTTATTAGTAAATCCCAACCAAACTCCTTGTTTCCATCCACATTAGGCATCTAGTCCTTTCCAAAGCAAAAGTAATAAGGAATTCCTTCCTCCTCAGCCAGTAAGTTTGCTCAGAATTGTTTTTAACAGTAACTTTAACAGAGCTTTCAGGTCCAAAGCTCATTAAAYAGACTCTCTTGCAATGCCAAAGCAGAACTCTGCCCACAAGCCTGGCTTTTCAGAAGTCACAAATAGAACACATGTCTACCAGGATGGCCAAGGCCATCCYCATAGTGCTCCTATAAACATTCCCAGCTGCACGTGTCCTTGATGGAGCAGAGTCCCTGTGCTTGCCTGCACAGACAGGGCATTATAGAATGCAATTTAATGCTCGGTGAAATGCTTTATCACCCTCCCTCACACAGAAAGCTCTGTGGGAATGCTGTGTCTCCKCGGTGCTGTCACTGGAGGAGATGTCTGTCGTATCACCAGGACTTTGTGTGAAAGGCTCACACTGCCTGGGCCCGCAGGGGAGCTCCAGCCAGAGCAGSAACTGCCTGTACAGAAACAGGACTGTGAACCCAAGTGCAGGGCAGATTTTTTCTCATTCTCTAACCACGGAATCACAGACTGGTTTGGGTTGGAAGATAATTTCATTCCAATTCTTCTGCCATGGGYRGGGATACCTTCCACYAGACYAAGTTATTCCAAGCCCTGTCCAGCYTGTTCTCAAACACTKCCAGGGATGGGGCAGCCACAGCTTCTCTGAGCAYCCTGCCAGGGCCTCATCACCCTCACAGGKAAGAATTTCTTCCCAAYATCCCATCTAACCCTGCAYGCTGTCAGTGTGAMGCCATTCCCCCTTGTCCTYTCACTCCAGACCCTTGTCCAAAGTCCCTCTCCATCTCTCCTGCAGCCCCTTTAGGCACTGGAAGGGGCTCCAGGATCTCCCTGGAGYCCTCTCTTCTCYAGGTGAACAGCCCCAGCTCTCTCAGCCTGTYTCTAAGCAGAGGTGTTCCAGCCCTCAGAGCATCTTTGTGGCCTCTCCACTCATTAACAGGACAGTAAACCTTAATGCCTACTTAAACCAATTTTTTTTTCTGTGATGACTGTGATGAATTTCTGTGATGATTTCACTTCTCATTTGCAGTGAAATCTCTTAAAACATACCTGCCTTACTTTTTAACATCTTTCTTCTCYTTTCCCCCAATGGCAAACAGTTCAATAAACTTTACAGCCAAGATTCTTCAGGAACATGCAATCATGTCAAATTTTTCTGAGGATCACTGTAAACAGAGGCCATACCAAGGAAGTATCACTGCTCTCCCACCCTTACATTGCTCCTCCAGTACTCACCCACTGGCCAATGGGAGGCTCAGGGCTCTCACTCTGACCTGCCCAAACCATCTTTACAGCCTACCTTCAGCTACACCAGACACACAGATTTACTTTGAAGACCACTGCCAACTTTCCTCTACTCCCTGTTCTTGAAATGCACCCTCTCCTGGCAGTCTGACAAAACAAGGAGGCAAAACTGCCTCCTTGTTGTCTCCAAACTGCCAGAAGCTGTACTTCCAGAGTCAGGAAGATACAGCTCAGAAACATCAGGTGTAACCAACATTCCCTCAGGACTGAAYACAGTGATTATTCTTTTAATCTAARGACAGGGTGTATTGAGCATCAAGGCTGTACAGCCTGAGAGACAGCTGGCACAGCAACCTAATGTTACTAGAGCACCAGCAAGGCTCCTGTCTGTCTCAAAAATAACAGGATGACCTTTCCACTGACAGGAAAATTCATAACTTATATGTGACAAAATGGAAGAAAAAAAGAAAAAAAAAAAGCAGATCTTAACGCAGTCACTGAAGGCAGTATTTACCTCTTGGGCTTGAAGACAACCTTCTGCCCTCCTTCAAGTATCAGCAAAGCTTTCAGTTGCGTCCCTTTGTATCCCACATCAGCTTTAATGATTTTCTTGGTGGTCATGGCGTGCATGACGGCGCCCAGCTCGGGGGTGTCCTCAGGGTACACCTCGCGGGGCACCACCCACTGTGCTGCGATCTCCCAGGGCGACTGCAGCGTGTGCTCCAGGCGCGGGTCCAGCGCCACGCGCAGCCCCGACAGCATCCGCTGGAACGCGCGCTGGTCCTCCCGGTTGGCGGCCGACGTGTCCAGGTTGTCAATGAGGAAAACCTTGGTGAAAATGAAGATGACGAGGAGGATGGCCAACAGCACAACTCGCTGCTTCARCTTCATGGTGCCCTTCAGCCCTTCTCCCCTGACCCTTTCTTCCGTTAAGTGTTACAGGAAGTCTGTTGGAGATCAGGGTGAGGAAGGGGACGTTAGTTGATGAATTTCATTCCTAACTTGCATTGTACAAGAGGTCTCACCACTGAAGCATCTCCTGGCACCCCTACAAATAAACAAAACACAAACTTACAATCCTGCAGACTCAAAATCAAGTTTATGCTTGGAACATAAGCCTGCATTCATGGACACTCGTATCCTAAASCCCACATGCTTCTGTTAAAACACCCTGGGTTTGCTGCCTTCCTGAAGCCCTTCTGCGATCTGCACGGAAGGGGAAATTGCCAGATAGCATCTCTGCACAGCTGAAATCAYAGCAGCTGCAACCACCACGGGCAAGACTTTTGCAGGGAACTGTAGTTTAACGTGATTGCTCCAATTTCACATGCACTCTTCCACTCRTATGACRTCCCATGACTGCTGGTGTCCTAAAGACCTGTCCCTCCAGAAAAGCTCCCAGGTWGATTTTAAGACAGCTGACAAACAGTGAGAACAGCTGAACAGCCTACTTTCCTGAAGGTACAAGGCATAAGGACAGAAAAGACTTAATTGTTTATTGCCTTTCATTTGCTGCTGCTATAATTTACTCAACTTTTTTTTCCATTCTTAAAAAAAATGAGCTGGGGTGGGGATGACATCTTTACTTCCTTGTGGTTGACTAAGTACCTTCTGCACTCAACTGCAAAAGCCATAACCACAGAAAATATACAAAGTRTCTGCAATCTCAACCAAATGAACTAGAAAAAAATACCCAGACCACTAATCCTTGCCTGTTCTCAGTAACCTTACCTACAACAGCTGAGGCCACATCTGTTTCTATATTTATAGTGGGCAGTAAGACACATCTGGCCCCTCAATAAGCCTTGGCCAGGGCAGTGTTTGCATATAAGGACCACAGAACGCACCATCAACTGTACTCAGTTATGAGGACAGAAATTACCTTCCTAGTATTAGCTGAATGCAGTCAAAAGCCAAATGGAAAAGGACCTGAGGCACACCTTGGAGGAGCGTTGGGAGCCAGCAGGAATTTCTCTTTGCACTAGCCACACTGATCAATGCAAACCCTAAACAGCATCCTGAGCTGGGGGAGGACTGACACAGAAAAACCTTCTCATGCGATTTAACAATAAGCATAGAAACCAGCCATTATTAATCAYGGCACTGGAAAAAACGAGCTGCACTGGCTCATTTACCAGCAGCAACCCCAGGACAGCCAGGCCATGCCTGGCAAAGCACACACAGGTCACAGCCATCAGTGTCRAATCAAGCTGGCACACAGTAAGAGTGTCAGTGTAAAAGGACATGCAAACCCCAGGAGGATCTTAAACAAATGTACATGAGGTCTAGAGCAGACCCATCCAGCTACACAGCTCTCCTTTGTCCCTCTTAGCACTCACAGCAGTATAGAGACTCCAGGAAGGGAGAGGGTAGAAGCCTCAGGGMTGATTCCAACTAGAACTGTGATCCCCTGATAACTGTGTAATACTGATTTTAATCTATTGGAAAATAAGTGCTTGTGCTCATGCTGAAAGGGAACAAATCACATGTTTATATGGAAATTAGAGCATATTATTATTCTTCATCTAGTTCTGTTTTGGCAGCCTGTTCTTCTCCAGACAGCACAGCCACCTGCACATTACCCACTGCARGCACGAGAATGAGAAGCAGAGATAAAGAAGATGCACCTGACCCAAAAGCTCTCATTCCTGCAGATCACACTCACCCAGGAAGAGGTCCTTAAATAATAATCATATCATTCTTAAACTTAAGCAGACAAGCAAAGCAGATCAGCTGTAACTGTACCCTCTCATTGTAACTGCATAATTCACCTCTTTAAYGCTACTAATTCTGAATCATTTTGAGCACTGCTGTTATCAAGATCTGCTTTCATTCATTTTTTTAAATCCATGAGAGTTTGTAAGGAGCTAGGCAGAAGAACAGAAGTAATTTCGAAAGAGTTATTCCTCACTATGAGGTATGTATATATGCACTCACACATTCAAAGAAAGCCTCACAGCACAGTGCTGGCTGACTAAAGCACAGGGCAAGATGTTCCACATCTCTGGAGCTCAAGCTGAGCACTCGCTTTTCTAGACTGATTTTCAGGAATGCTGAGCTTCTCTAGGGATATTTTTCTTGGGAGCTGGGGGGGGTAGGGGGAAGAATACAACTACAGTCACTCAAGTTAAAGGTCATTTACTTAGTTTCTCTTTTGCGACAGCTTTGAAACTAATTTTGGCTGAAACCCTCCAACAAGGTAAACAGAATTTACAAAAATAAATAAAATTAAGTATTATAACTGTTTGCTGGTGAGTTGGCTCTCACTTTTTAGTGACATCTGAGAGCATGAGTCATCAACTGCTTCCCTCCAACAAACACCAAAGCACTTCGAGGTTGCCATGCAATCAGTTTCCCAGTGCTCCATGCACAGTCTGCACTTTGCTCCTTGGTGTCAACGTTACACTCTCTGCWCTACAAGCCAAGGGAATTGAATCCTTTTATGAACAAGTTTACCATGGACAATAAGAACTTGAGCTTCGCTGTTTTAAATTGAAGATGGCAAGGGTGACAGCACTGAGGCTGTTTAAGAAAATATTTATTCAGTTTTGGAAGAAAGTAATTTGAAAAAGACAWGTCTGGCAAATTCTTGGATTGGAAAGGAAGATTATGAGAACKCCAGAAGTGTCAAGCTGGTCCTGGAATGAGGTCAGAGATGAGAAAGATGAAATAACAATACACMACCAATATTTTAAAAACAAAAAGATAAGGTAAGCTGTGAGCTGAACTCTATGGAATGAATGGCAAAAGKGTCTTGGACAATGACAAAACTAAACCCAGCAAAAAAGAGAAAACAGCCAGAAATAAACAGCCCTACCAGCTTTTTAATGCTGTAATCAACTGCAAGGTTTGCATGAGAAATACTTCTTGTTTTTCACTACCTCTTTGGCATATTCCTGATCAATTCTGTCTCTTAATACAACCAGGTCTGTATTCTCAGTAAGTACGAGTCTTCCAACTCAATATACAAACAGCATCTCCTCAGTATCATGGTGGGGTCACAGTGCACACAAACACCTGAATYAAAGCATGTCTTCTGGAATTAAATACCAATATCACACCACTTCATTCCCAGTTCAAAAAACAGCATTCACTTTGCCTGTTACAAAAATCACAGCTACTCTAAGCAGTCTACAAAGTTAGAAGAAAAATACCACAAAACTTTCTTTATTTGAGTCACAAAATCAATGCTGTGCCTCATATGCCTCATATCACAATCTTTTTTTTTTTTTTTTTT